AAAAACAATTGACCGAGTTTCTAAGAAAAAAGCTGACAAAATAGTTTATTTTATTAGACCTATTGCTGAAGTTCGGAAATCTAGCAATCAAGATTTATTACCCACACTTCACGCTCATAATCTATTCTCGTGTAAAGGAAACAGACGTGTCCTAGACAGCTAGAATCTTCCATGATTGATTACACTGTTCAAATGCATAGCCTTATTGTAGTTAAATTGTGACTAACTGATCGAAATGTCAAAAACATTATCAACGTGATCACGTAGCCACCGCCATCTTGATAAACAATAATGCTATAAATACTCTTCTTATATTGTTCGCTCAGTTATGTTTAAAATCTGGGGTCGTTACAGCTGTCTTAATAACTAATGAATCAAGGCCAAGGCCAGACAATATTTTGTAGCGCCCAATATGCTATGTAACCAGGCAACAAAAATGTTTCAACGATGAAATGTCCTCGCTCGCGTGTTTTATTTCTGCTCCTTAGTACCTAAGTCGTTATGAACGCTCTACTTAATTGTTTTATATTACATTGTTATCGGTCGTTGTGAATAAATCGTCACTGAAAAGCGATAAAATTAATCCAAAGATTCGTTAAGCATGCATACTCGTCTGTCGATTAGTGCCTCCTGTCACCCGTGTACAAACAATCATTGTAACGAGTAGTATCAAACATGCAGACAGACAACAGACGTAATTTACACAACATTGCATTTGATTAAACCTCGGACTTGCTCTTAATAGCCAGTGTCAGAAAGAAGTAGACTACGACTCATAATTTCATATGCTGAACTAAGTATCATTTACGGTCATTCGGCAAGTAGGCGCGGTGCGAATCACACGTGTCAGACCTTGTAGAGTTTTCGATTGTCTGAGACGAGAAAGTGAGTGTGTGGTGCGTTGGTGTGCGGATGCGTTTGCGGTAGCGTTTTTGTGCGTTATGGAGAGTGCGGTGCACGCGGCCGTGCCGCTACGGGTCGGGAAGAAGATGAGGAAGAGGCGGGAATTGGACGCGCTGGTTGGAGGCGGAGGCTCGCGCGGCGGCCGGCTTCTGTCTGCGTCCAGTGATGAGGGGGAGCCCTGGGGCCGCCGCACTTCGCGCCGCCGCCGGACCAGGCCCTTCGTCAGGCTGGCCGCAGCTCTAGCCTTCTGTGTGTGCGTGGTATCAGCTGCAACCGTCCTCTGGCTGTTCGTCGATGTTAGGAGACAGATTGCTTCTTTACGCATTGAAATGGATAGAGGTTCGTTTTTTTATATTTCTATGTAGAGTTCCTTTTGACCTGAAATGGGAAATACAACATATATTCAGATAAATGTTAGAAATATAACTGTCGAGATGAAAATCTACCATCTACATTTGTAATGTAAACATTTCCAGAAGTCTCTCGTACCAAATTTACAAACTTGACACCGATACATTAGTTCACCTTGAAAATATAGACAATCAACACAATTAACTTAGAAGGCCTGACCTTCCTTAGAAAAAGTTTTCTAATTGCGTCAATCCCTATAATAGGCTAATGAGTAACTTGAATACACACAACACACTTGATCAAGGTTTTAAAGGATCAGTCTATAGCAAATATTGCCGAGTAAAAAGCTAACCATCCAATCTTAGTAAGCTTCCTAAATCCCCGTTGATAGATAGTCAAAACAATTAGTTCTAAGTAACAATCTAAGATCAAATTAATTTGGTAGTTCTTCAACATAATAATAGCGGTGAATGTTAAAGCGTGGGTGGATTTATCTCGTTATGTAAAGTCAACTCGTTCGTATGTTGTTAACTTGGTTTCTCATACAATGCTAATATCCAACAATGAAGTCACACCTACGCCGTGTGATATCTATTTTGCATTCACAATAAAATTATGCTCCTTTTATAGGGAAAATAATGTTTGCTTTCATTTTCAAATGTAAGTAGGTTGGTATTTTGTTAGTGTAATAGATATTTGGGTAGGTTGAGTTTAAAATTGCAATGCCTAAGCAATCGGTACATGCAATCGCGTGATGCAACCATCAAATTTGTAGCCTTAGTATGTGCGAAGTAATCGATTGCAATCTTATCTGTAATATCACGTAGGGATTCACGCTGCTGCCTCACGATTTCACCTGTAAAACTTCAATTACTAAATCACGTATCAATCAGGTCTTTCATTCTGTTATCAGTTATATGTCCCCACTGTGCAGGGAATAGGCACAGATCTATTCACCCAGCCCAGATTTAAAGACAAATGCATCATCTCTGCTTCAAATGACGGCATAATAAAAATCTAACAAAATAAGTAATTGTGTTAGTATGACAATACTTTCAGCATAACAAACACAATTATTTATAGGACCCTCGTCCCGTCACATACCTAACTATTAAGTCAATTACAGAGCGTGTCGTACAGGTTTAGTGATGTTTACCGTGCCATTTATAGCCAGTGACGTTCATTTTATAATGGACCCTTGACAAGAAATTATAGCGATCTGTGCCACACACTGATCAAATTGCTGTGGCATTGAATCGAGTTAAATTAATATACAAATAAGGAAATAGCAATACCTTTATGTAAATTAATAGCTTATCATTTACTTACTGCCCGGCCTACTTCCTGGTCAAAGGGTGTAGGTTGTTTTATTCTATAGAGCCTATAAATTAAAATATCGTTTACCGTTTAGCATAGTGTTTACAGGAAATTAATAAAATCGAGGTCAAATTGTACCTAAGATAGAACCTTGAGGTACTCCTATTAAGTTTTAATCACTTAAGTGATTTTTAAACATATTTTTGTTGAATAAGATTAGTGTACAATTTAGATGCATATAGTTTAGATTATTGTTTATATAACAAGACGAAATATTTTGTAAAAATGTGATATTTTCCAACAAACGCAGTTGTGAAAGCTTATGCTAGATCTTGATTGAATCTGAAATTTGACAAATTATAAGTTGCTTAGCAAAAACAAATATAGTCATACCTAAGTCAGTAATATGTATTAACAAACACATTAGTGTTTGATAAATCATTTAGCAGAATACTTATTTGAAAACCAAAATACTCGTTTTTTACGTCAGGTCAAATATAGTTTATTATTTTTCACAAAATATTTTAACACCTGCAATATTATATAGTACCTACACTAACTCAACGTTTTGGTGTTATTCAAATCTAAATAAAGCGGAATGGTAATATTACAATGACATGGCCGTTAGAAAGTGTTCCCTCATAAAGACCTTAAGTCTATGTACTTAGATTTGATATGCACGCACGTGACTAAGTCAAAGTAAACAACTATATCCACAAGATATATAAAATACATTAACTATTAACTACATACTATTATGCTAATATCTCCAGGAATTATTACATGTAGATATTATGCTATTAGTATGTACCACCAAAAATTAATGTTATGTATCCGAAGAATTTATGTGTATCTTTGTACAATATTCCTTGAAAAGGATTTTTAGCGGAGTTTACAATGATCGTATTAATTTCGTCGAATTATCTCGAAAATTGTTCTACCTTAATTGTCTAAGCAATCTGTGCCGTGGTTTCTGTTTCATGTTATTCGGAACTTAAAGGATGTTTGTAATGCCCCTGTTTGTCTTCACACGGGTATTTTCTAGATCTAATAATTAGGAGTTTTCACGGGATACCCCTTTTACCACCTTCGGTGTAGACTTGATGTTACATGGAGCGATTACTATATCTATACTCTAAACCTCACTAAAGCTGATAACCGATACTAACTACGATTTACTAATTAGAATTTACAAAGTTAGTTACAAGTCACAATGGCACTCTTATTCTTGAGCAGCTTAGCGCAACGTTACGTAGGCCGTAAAAGTAAAACTTCTCACATTACCTAAGTTCATCATCATCATCAGCGTATAAGTGCCCACTGCAGAGCAAAGGCCTCTTCTCATACGGACAAGATTAGAGCATTAATCACCAAGCTTGGTCAATGCGGGTTGGCGACTTCAAACTTAATAATATTATAAAAATAATTAGAAATTAATATTAATAAAAATAATTAGAAATTATAAGTCCAGGTTTCCTCACGATGTTTACATTCACCATATGTCAGTGGTGTCTTAATAGTCATAGAAAGTACATATAAGTCGGAAAAGTCACATTGGTACATGCCAGGTTTCGAACCCATACCCTCATGCATGAGACCGCTTCTCATCGCTCCTTAACCTCCGGGCCACCACGACACCTAAGTTCACTTGACTTCAGTCTTTACATTCAATACATTCAATTTATTCTTGTTGTCCTCAAATACTCCAATACTGTACCTAATCACAAAACTGCAGAGATTTGCTGTCTGACTGTTTCAAAATGTAAATGTGAATCCTACATGTGAAGATCATTAAATGCCATCTCCTTTAGTATTCGTCCACGTGTTTCCAAGCGAAACTATAAACAGATTTGAAATTGGAAATTGTTTTCATTCAGTATTTATCACGTCATAGACAGAAATTATCTTTGTTTACATTTTTTTATTAATTTGTAGTTTTTAGGTATTAATAGAATCTGATTACGTAGTTCTTATTTATGTAATTAACACCATGATTTTATCATCAGCTGTGGATGGTGTAAATGATGTGTTCAAAATGAAACAATCTATGTGTTCTTAATTATTTTTATTTGTTGACAATCAATTTTCATACGTCTGCAACACTAACAGCTAAGAAACATCTAAAAGAGAAACAATTAATGGAGTTTCTTGCGAATAAACGAATGAACATGTAGTTGTACAGGCGTACTAGTCAAATCCTTTTTTTTTAATGTTTCTGTATATTTTGACTTAATATGATTTATTTATTAAATGCGATGCCATTCTTGAATGGCAAAGTTTATATTAATACAATGTTGGTGATTATACAGATTGGAAATAACTACAACCTTAACAATATGTATTAATAAAAACGAAACATTTCCCATCAAATAACATAGTACTCCAATTCTGAACGTACAAAACTAACAAATGAATCTCTTCTTTCACAGTATCAAGAAGCAGCAACAGTGTAGACGACGCATTACAAGTATGCCACACGACTGCAAAGGAGTTACGAGCGAATGCCAGCGCTCTAAGCGCGAAGTTCGCGGCTTTGGATCAGGAGCACAAAGAGCTGACGCAGAGGGTAGCTCAGGCGGCACAGGAACTCGCTGCCGTCTCAGAACAGCTGTCAGCCGCCCCCAAGCTAGCTGACACGCCGAGAAGACTGGCAGAACTACAGAGGACAGTCGCGACATTTGGTTCACAGGTATTGTTGATGCTCAGTTAAAAAAGTTATTGCATGTTTGAAATGTGTGCGTAAGCCATTTTTCGAAACAAGTGGGCTGGGACCTGGAGTGTTCCACGGCCTCGCAGAAACCCGGCGTGAAGCAACACTTACATGGTGTTTCGTTGTGTGAGTGAGGTCACCGAAAGACCAATCTATCCCATCCCCCATTCCCCATTCTCAATCCTCAAATACTTTTTCCTTAAATCCCTAATAACCCACAAGAGGCCGGCAAAGCACATGGCAAGGCTTAACTCCTTTGATAATACGAGTGTCCATAGGCGACAATGATTGCTTGCTTGTTTGCCGATGACACAAAAAACCTTTGCATTTTTAAGTAGGTCTTAAAAGTCTCATCTTATCTCGTTATTAGGTTTTACAAAAATTAGCGTGTATCTCCAAAAAATGTTTGATATTAGTAGCAGTAGTAGGATAAACAATATCCTTACCAGTCTTACTGCCGTACTCACAGACGATGACTTAAACTATTCCTTAGTAACGTTTTTGTTCTGGAAACAATTTGCTGGAGACTCGATTAAGTAACCATTAAATTATTATAAGTGACGCGGTTAAACGCTAAACATTATTAGATACGTCCGTGCAGAAGGCTTGAATGTGATATCGGTCACTGACTTCACCAGCTTGACGTAATTATCGTCTCGAAATAAACTTGCACGTCATATACAGCTTAGTTATAAAATTACAAAATAAATTATCATTGTGCTTTTATTTCAAGTTTTGAATATTGTTTTGTTTATCCAAAGAGGTGTGCTACGTGTGACACCTGTGATTTCTTTTTTTCTTCTTCTTTCCTTGTTATGGCATATGTAAAAGTCAGTCATTACCGCCTTACCCTGTCATGAGTGAAGAAAAAATATCATTTATCTGTTACAAAATAAACATAACTGTATCTATCTAGCCTTTGGTTATATATCCGATCATTATGCTAAATGTCTCTGTGTTTTGTGAATGCCTGCCATCATTATCATAAAGGGTTCCCAGTACACTTATGTCCGACACAGTTTACAGGAATTATGTTTTCAAATTTACCAGGTATACATAACTAACAACCCGCCCCCGCTTCTTTCTTCTTATTTCTCCATAGTTTAATCATAATGCATGTGATTATAAATAAAAATCCTCCTTTTCGAAACTCTGTCTTTTTAAAAATCTTCATCAAAATCCGTTGCGTAGTTTTAAAGATTAAAGCATACATAGGGATATAGGAACAGAGAAAGCGACTTTGTTTTATACTATGTAGTGGTCGTTATTCAGACATTGTGATATAGACTCTAACTATGAAAGTTGACTTGGCCGTCTTCTACTGAATTCTCAGTAATAAATACGAAACCTGATAACCCTAAAGCTTGACAATTAACACTGTTAGTGGCTAAAGTATAATTATTGGCATTATATTATTTCTCTCTGTCTCTCTCTTTGACTTTCTTAAGAATATAACAAGGACATTATTTTGTTCTATCTTTGTCAATGGCGTTGACTGAGTAGCATTCAGTCGCAGCCATCAACATATTTTGATCATCGTAACCACGTATTGTATTGTTATTGGTATCTAGGTCAGCACATTATCTAATCTGTACCTCGTATACAATAACGATTGAGTATTAAACTGTCTTATATACAGGGTGTAAGGGACAGCCTTCCGCAAACTGATAGGGTGGATTCAGTATATCGTCTTAAGTTGACCGGTACATGAAATTATTTCAGGAACGTTATGGGAATCCAATTAAACCGATTTGTTTCATTACCTTACACGCAATGTATCGCTACCACCGCAAACGCACGCAGCGAACGGCAGCGCTTTTAGTATTATTACTTTACACTATGGGCAGCGCAGCGCCGCGACCTTACGTTCAGACAAACGGTCGCGCTCGCGCCACGTTTTAATAACAATAAATTATTATTTAAAAGATAGCCGCATTACTTACAAAAGACAATGTAATAATCGCGCTCGCGCCACATTTTAATAACAATAAATTATTATTTAAAAGATGGCTGCATTACTTACAAAAAAAAATCTAACAATCATAACATGGTAACTGATAAATGATAAAAAAAGAAAAATGCGTAGGTACCTTAGAATCGCTCCGGTTTCCGGCTCTGGAAAGCATTTGTGATGCAGTCTCGTATTTCGTACTCACTTGCACACGCACTCACAAACACTTTTTCTTTTACGTAACCCCACAAAAAGGGGTCCAAATGGGTTAGGTCTGGGGATCGTGCTGGCCACGGTTGCGGTCCAAACCTACCTAAACTACGTTTAAATAGGAAAGCACTGGTAAGTGGTAGCGTCTCGTTACGTTAGCGAACCAATTCCAAAATCCACGTAGGTATTGGTCTTCCGGCCCCTTTTTGTCTGGGAACAATGGGCTGGTTTTCTAGCAAGCGTTGATAGTCACCAGTAATTATCCTGGAGTCTGATGGATGGCGACGGTCAGGATACCTACACTACTACAACACATTATCATCTCCCCATAATCACGCGCGCTAAACGTACCTAGGTAGTAATTTCGCACAATTTCTACAACAAAACTTCACTACACTTCACACACTACATAACTAATAAAACATAACAACACTACTTATAACAAAACTTTTAAGCCGAATGCGCGAGCGATCCGTGCCGACACACGCTCGCGGTACACAAACAATAACATCGCAGCAAGGCACAATGGCGACTGCATGTGATGAGACACACACAAACATAAATCTGTTGTTGCCAATTACACGAAAATTACAAAATTTCGGGGTAAAAAATTAAAAATTATGCATGGTCGTAATTTATCATTCTGTTATTTTTTGTAGAGAAATGAATTGATTAAATCAATTTAATTCTAATTTCATTATTTAGTTAATTTAGAATAATAAAAGTGCAGTGTGATAGAAAGCTGTGCTTCCATTCCAGGGAGATTGTGTTTAATTTCTGGCTCGACTATCAATTCATGGCTATTGTGAAGCCATGTAAAAATCTGTAAGTAGTTTAAAAACTAGCCAGTAATCGCTTAAAAAGAACAATCAATTAATAAATTAGGTAGTATTTGTAAATGCTTTAAAATTAAAACTAGACTAATCTTTATTTATTTCTTATTCAATTTATGTGCGCGACAAGATTTTCATTAATTGATTAATGAAAATCTCATCAACGTAATTATGAATGCAAAGGAGTTCTCAAGTTTTAGATAAATTTCGCTAGTTCTAACATTTTCGTTTACTACCTGAGGTAACAAAAGTTAAAAATTGGCAACACTGGTTCAATCGGGCAAACATTGTGCAAAGAATCGGGGAGACGGGGAGACGCGGAGGCGGGGCGATAGAAAGGAACGCAGCTATTCTGTACGTTGGACGGGATCGTAGGTATTATACCTACGGCGCGCGGCGCGGCGATCGGCGCGGTGGGGCGCCGAGCCGCTGCGCCGTGACCGCGGTGCGGTGAGTTCAAACGACTCGCGCTAGGTAGAAATTGAACAGCTGATTTCATGCGTAGTTCTTTAGAGAATTCACACAACCATTGCGTATTTATTTGTTTTAGCTGTGTTATTTACATTAATGTTATTCTTCATACATAGAATGTAATTATACATTGAAATAGAGGTGTAGGAACTGAAAAAACGAAAAAAAAATTGAAAATTTTCCTGAAAGAATTTTCACTGGAATATGATTCAGAATAAGGAGCTGAATGCACCCTGTTAATTTGTGGAGGGCTGTCCCTTACACCCTGTATTATAGTATCATCTTTATCAGTTATTGCATATTTAGTATGTTCTAGAGTTCTAGACTGCTAGGGAGTACCGTCTAACTGATTTGCTGATGAATGTTATGATGGAGGATTATCTGTATTGTTTCTTACTTTTTTTTTTTTTTGTAAGTGGACAATCGCTCATCGTAAATGGTCAAATCTTCTCTCGGCCAGAATGAAGCGAGCCTCAGTACCTTTGCGCTTGCCCCGCAGCCCCGCTTATATCTGTACTCCTTAATGTTTTATTTAATTTAATGTCTCTTTTTTAAAAGAACCTCAATATCACTCCAGTACCTTCGGTGTCAAAAGTAAATGTAATATTTTTTGTTTTTGAATTCATAGAACAACTGACCATTTGTTTGTCGTAATGTAATGTATCCCGTATTTTAAGACCAGTAGCGTTCAAAGCGAAAGTTCGACTAAAATTCTCAAATCAAGTATAATTTATAGCTTCCAAACGCAGCTTCCCTCGCATGGTATATTGATAATGCTACACTATGTCCTATTCCGGAGAGTCCTACGCCTGTGCCAAATTTCATCCAAATCCCTCCAGCCGTTTAGGCGTGGTTAAGTAACAGTCATCCAAACATCGTTTATAATATTAGTAACTAGCTGCCCGCCCCCGCTTCGCACGGGTCTTACTTTCCTAACAACAAAAGGGTCAGTTTTTCACAATTTTCCCCTCTACTTTACAAATATTTGCTTTGATAAGAACCGTCCTGACCATAATAAATACAACAAAAAAAGAATTAATTTAATTGGTCCTGTTGTTGTTGAGTTATGCGCTTACTAACACATTTTACGATCCATTTTTATATATATAGATTAGTAAGATTAATAAGAAGTGAGATAGCACTCAGGAACATTGTAGCTATCTATCAGTGCCAGAATTTTGGAAAGCCGACCAGCCGTTCCAAAGATTGACCACCCTTACAAAAAAAAAATCCAAATTTAACATCTTTATAATATTAGTAAATGGCCAAATAAATGTGTGTAAATTTATTTCTCAGTGCGGACGGACGTATAAAGTTTTAGAACTCACGTACTGCGTTTGCGACTACAATAACAGGAAGCAATCTACTGCTAGAATGAGAAGTACACTACAGTAACGTCTTGCCATTATCCTTTACACTCCAGTACATACTTCCTTAGTGCCGAATTGATCTCAAAAACGAAATAGGCATTACTTACACCTCTCATGCAATATTGTGTTGTAAAAGAGCCAAAAGCTACAAGAATTTTAGTCATAACGTTGAATAGAGTTTTGGTTACATATATTTATGTATAATAAATTTAGGGTTGATTTTTCAAAGATTAGATAAAAGATATCTGGGGAATAATTACGATGTTTATAATGTTTGACAGTGACAACAACAATTTTATTCGTCCAATAACAGTTATCTGACTATTGGAAATTCAGCCCTTAAAGGAATACATTTGTCTAGATGCAACCGTAATTCCAGTTTAGTCTGCAAAGTCAAAGGCAAACCATTCGATTCAATTAGACCATTAAAGGCACTTTAAAAGTTAACAATTGAATATAATAAGTTAAAAAGTGTAGATTTATATGGAGGAGATAATAATTAAAAAACATATTTGAAAAGGTAACAAGCTTGTCTAGAGTTCCTATTAAAATAAACTTTTCTTTTTTTTTCCAGATCAACGGTTTCGACAGTACAATAAGTTCAACCCACAAACAAGCCTTAGCAGCTGTGACAGGAGTGGAAGAAGTTAGAAATCTTCTACATCAACTAGATGCCAAGGCGAATGAGACTATAGCCAATGTCACAGCAAATACGAAGCGTGACGAAGAGATCCGAACGGACCTCGGAAATCTTAACAGTACGCTCACAAGCCAAGTCGAAGCCTTGCAGACTAGGATACAGGAAATTACTGTAAGTACCTATGACCTAGGTTTTCGAAAATTGATCTTAAGCCAACAGGATAAAGGTGTATTCAGTTTAATTGTTTCCTGCATCCGGTATAAGTTGACCCCGCATTGTATAGTCTTTTCATGCAGTGTCGGGTCGGCTGTTAATAGTTTTCTTAAGTATCAGTTCTTTTGTCATCCAAACATTTCCATATGTTATCAATGCAAGGATGCAAGTTTATCCGGAACATCTCGCCACCTTGAATTTTAATGGAACTGGATTTGCATTGAATAAAGGTTAAAAGTGACTGGAATAATTGCACAAAATGAAAACGTGTTGACATTATTTTCGGTCAGAGGTCATTCTATAATTGTCTTGTAGGTATTTTCAAAACGATGTGCAATTTTATTACTACGGAAGTAATGATACCTACACAACAACAATCGCGATTTACAAAAATGCATTGACCGCAAATCACTTTTACGTCTTCAAAAACTTGGTTATCGTTATTATTTATATTTGAAATACTAGTATCGTAATAACTAATTTCAATTATTCAAGTTTTAATATCAATCATCACACAACCATTTTCGTATTTCTTAGATGGCGCCACTTTCGAGTTAGGTCTTGTGACATTTTTACCGTATTTTTAATGAAAAAAATGTTTTTTTTTTTTGTAAATAGGCCATAAAACAACACTTTTGACGAGTAAACGTCAAAATTATATGTAAAAAACTAGATGAAGCCGGCATTTCCTATTTGACTACTTTGAGCAAAGTCTCTCGCCCCGTTTGCCCGATAGCGGTGAGTTCAAGCGCTGAATTTGGTCTAGATCACCTATATACATACTATGTACTATGTACCATGTAAAATCGTGCGTCAAAAAATCTTATTAATCCTGTATTAATGGAAACAGTAATTAAGTATGACGTAATCTGATTGAAATCAGTGTTAATAGTTATCAGCATTCTAATTTTTCAAAGGCGATGTAGCTATGTGGACGATATTATTATGACACTTCCAAATATTTTTTTTATACATTCGATAATGTAGTAACAAAATACAGTTTCATTAATCGAGTATGTATGTGTTTTTATCATAATCTTGCGTTAGGCATAGGAACTGTACAAAAAAATGTAACTCGAAAAAAAAACAAGATACTTATTTATTTTCGAACGTTATGGAATTGTTTAAAAATACCAGGACAGCCATTAGGATGAATTCTAATTGAACGTAATTTGTTTGAACTATCTACCACATGAATATATCAGATACTCGAATGAAGATAGTAAAAAACCTCAAAAATGCAACAAAGTTATCCAACATCTTATTAAAAATCATATCACTTTCCTTTGTATCAAGTAACTATGTACAAAATTTAGTGGTTAATTTTATTCTAGATAAGTTTATTTTGATAGAGAACGCGTTATAGAGCATTTCATCCCAATTATTGGTCTACTTTGGCCTAGTGATTTTTGCACTGTCTCTTCGTGAACCATATCCAGCCAAATTGATGCCATTATTTTAAGTATGAAGTGAAAAAATAAAAAGATGCCATAGTGACTTACATAGTTTGGTATCTATTTATAATCTTATTCATTAGATTTGTCGAATTTTAGTAGGGTATAAATATTTTTCAAACAAGGCGGTAATTTTGTAAGGTCTTATTTAGTTTCGATGGACACTATTCCCGGGTCTGCAGTTTACGTTTCGGTTACGAAGGTTGAGTAGTAGTGACGACTGTTACTACAGGTTACGAAGCTGCGGTGCCTATTGCACGGAAGAGCAATAGCAGCTCTTCCGTGCAATAGGCACCGCAGCAAGAGACACTTCCTTACGTCTTGCCCTGAGCGAAAGAAGACATTTAATAACTTTCCTCTCACAAAAAAACAACTCTATGTATAAAGACCGGTTTGAGACATGCTGCGATATCACATTAAGATCGTCTTATGTATCACTTTGTGTAAATAAAATGTTTAATTTATAAATAAATGAGCCAGGCCAAGTGCAAGAGTACTCACAACTAACTGACCTACTGTGTTCAATCTTCCAGAAGCCTGTAAGCACAGCGGCGCCGACGGTGGCGACGGCCGCGACTGCAGCGAGCGCCGTACCACCAACTAATTCTACCACTACCACCACAACGACACTACCGCCTGGTATGTATTAATATCTACATAATTGGATAGTTTCCTAGATCAAAAATAAATTTATACAATTAAATATTGAAAAATAACTATACTTTTATTCACGAACTTAGTAAGCTATTCGATGCAAAAATACTATGACATTGTAATATAAAGTTATATACAAACATCATAGAAAAGTATAGTTTTTGACATTTGGAAACTACAGTGTTGCTTTAACCTACTTCTATCTATTACCAGAAGAAAAAGCAATGTATATAATTATGTGTTGTGCTCGAATTCTATTAGTATTATAAACGCAAAATGTGTAAGTGTAGATACATGGATGTGTTTTATTCACTCTTAACCAAAAATACTGGACCAATCTAAATGAAATTTGCATAGACATAGATTATAATGCGGTAGCTTATGTGTAACGGTACCTTTTGCCTTTTTAATGCGGGCTAAGTATTGTGAAACAGTAAATATAAAAGTAATCCCTTATATTACTCCACTAACAATTCTTTAAAATTGTTTTGTATTTTTGCTCTTGTGAGATCTAAATTAATAACTATATGCCACATAATTATATCTCTTAACTGTTCGCCACGATTGTGTTTTTGACGCACAAAGCTACTTCATGACTATGAGCTTGAAACTATTCAAGTGGCAATTCCTTTGCTACCTAGGTTTAGGCTAGGAAAATAATTAACTGCATTCACTATATTTTTTCAAGGCTTTAATCAACAAATTTTCTTCCAGGGAAACCGTCAGTGCTACAATGAGGATTGCTGAAATCCTTCGTTCCTCCCAACTCGTGAACCGATGTCGGATGACGAGAGAAACGCTCAGTCTTGATCTCAATACGTCCAAACGACATATACACGTAGACGTTACCGAGACGCGGAACGGATACCCTCCAAAAATATTTGTAAGGATAGAATTGTCGCAGTCGACGACAGACCTTCGGACAGTACGGACGTGATTTTGACTCGGCCATACATTTCAGTCAGTATTTTAATAGTTTTCCTTGGACTGTACATACATTTTTCATTCGAAAACATATTTTTTATTAATATTACAATATTATTTAGTGTTTGTACTTATATTTATGTGTTTATTTGACTTTATTATATGGATTTGGTGTTTTGTTGATGGTGACGTATTTTTATTTTATTTGTAAACGTCTTGAATAAGATGTCAAGGAAGTGAGGTGAGGCGCACCAATGCAATATCGTCGAGTGAGAATTGAGTACGATGTAATGTAAATATTTAATTGTAATTAGTTTTATGAGCGTAGTGAACACACGCGGACGCACTGTGTGTTATGTTGTACGAGTGTGAGTTTTATTACTTGTAATAAATTATTGTTAATAGATCAGTTATTATTAAACTATTTTGTTTTATTTTACAATATGAAAACTCAATAATATTAAAGAATAAACATTTTATTATTCTTTAAGAATCAGAAAGAAGAAGAAGATCGGCTTAACAGTACAAAGCGCAAAAATAGCGTTTTTTTTTCTTCTGACAACACCGGCTTAGTGTGAGCGTGCGCGTTAAAATGGCGTAGGACTAGTCTTGCCCCGCCCTCGCTTAGTAGGAGTTTATTCCTATCCTATCAATTCGGATTATGTGATGTCGATCGATACTACTATCGATCCTAAATTCATAAATCTATCTTGTATCGTATCTACATTTCAGTGTAGTAATTTAATTTCCAATATGTTCTATCGATCGATAAATTTCGCATCCCATACTAACTGAAGTGGCAATGGACATATTTGTCGAAGAACTGATGACCGTTCAGGTAGACGGGTTCTGGAGCCGTGACCGCGTCTAGGCAAACGTAGTGTAAGGCGCCCTCCAGCTAGGTGGAATGACGATGGGTAAGCAGACAAAGGTGGCTGGCAGTGGTTAAATGAGAAGAGCTGAACATCGAGCTCATTATCGTGTAATTGGAGAGGTATGTCCAACAGTGGACGGAAACGGACTGGTCATGATGATGATGATGATGATGATGATGATAATGATTATGATGGTGCTTTCCTAACGAAACAATATTTTACAGTCCACCAAGTCAAACCATCATATCATTATGAATGCACAGTTGGCGCGGTGGCTGGGCAACTGGCTGGGATGGATGGGAAGTGGAGCCGATGTGAAATTGTATGTTTGTAAACGAACCCATGAGACTGCAGAAAATCCTAGTGTACGGCAACGTTAGTTACCAGTTACTTTTTTCGTAGTCAAACACGACAACGAATTCTTTTGAATATTAATAAATCAAACTCCTCCAGTTTAGTACAAGAAATACAAATAAAATGCAATAACAGTAAAACATTTATTGATTCAGTCCTAGTTTCATACATACACAAACATAAAGCAATCGATTTGATATTTACAAATATTACATAGGATGTCTATGTTGAGATATAAGCAAGCGTTGGATCGATCTCAAGGCATCTAGCCAAACAAATAAAAATAAATGCATTAAAAATTATTTTAAAATAATTGAATTAAAAAATAGAGCAAATAATTAGAAAAATATATTTATTTGATAATTATGTTCTATATCTTTCTTCGAGAAAGATATCGATGAGAGATGAGGCTCCAAAAGTGGAGTAAATTGAAGGACTACCTCAACTTAATAAGTACTTAAACTTTGTTAAGTTGATGGTAAAATTTCTAGTTACCACTAATGGCAATGAACGAGGTATTCCAAACACAATTACCTACTACATCACGAACAGATTTTGTTTCAACTTTGTAACGTATCATTCAATTTTTAAAACGAATAAACTTACAGAACACATATGAATAATAATTCTATATGACAAGCCCTGAGATCGATGTACGACGATGCAGTACTACGCTTTGATGATGCCTATCTCCTTAGCGACGTCAGCGAATGCTTGCACAGCGCGCGCCACGTCGTCCTGCGTGTGCGCAGCGCTTAACTGCACGCGCACGCGCGCCGCGCCCTTAGGCACCACCGGGTAACTGAACGCTACCACGTAGATACCATGCTCTGGAAAAAATATTAAATATTTAATTATATTTATTAAGTAAATGACAAAAAATGAATAAAAGAGACTATGGCGTTGGTTGACCCATGTTTCGGTACGAATAAGCTGCTCTGACTGGAGTATTGCTACAGTCCAAAAAACAACGCTTACTTTGTGTTTCACCGAGTGGTCGAAGTGACGCTCAACCAGGCAGGCCAACTTCTGAGACCAACCACGCAAAGTGTTGTGGATGCCCATGTAAGCAATTGGCGCCGCCCATGAACACTCGTGATACCGAAGGAGTTACTACGAGTGCGTTGCCGGCTACTTGCGACTTAAGGGATTTGAAGATTGGGCATGGGGGAAGGATTAGGGCTAACCTCACTGATACAGCGGAGCACTACGTAGGCAAGTGTCGCTTCACGCTGGTTTTCTTTGAGGCCGTAGTATCATGTCAGTCGAGTCGGTCCATTCGTGCCCATATATGTCTCTCCCACATATTTTTTTTTGTTGATTGCTTAACATCAGGTGGTATCCCACAAAAAAGACATGTGGTAAAGTAAGTTCAATAAGACTTAAGTCAATTAATGATCCAAGCTCCGATCAGCATAAGAATAATCACTTACTAAGCATATTGGCAGCAAGTTCGACAGCCAGCGGTGCGTCGCCCACCATGACGGGACAGATGGGGTGGTCGTCTCCAGCCACCGTCAGTCCAGCTGACTTCAAACCATCGCGGAAGGCGCGCGTGTTCTCTCGGAGACGTTGACGGAGCTCTCCGCTTTGTTCAACTATATCTAGAGACTGGAATAAATAGATATACGTCATTATTTAGCGAATTCTTCATTCCTAAATGAAAGAAAAATCCTAAAGTTTTACTTAAGAAAAAATCTATGAATCATGCGATTAGGTCCAATTTATCAAATGACAGAACAAATTAGGTACCTATTCTTAATAAATCAAAGGCAGAAGTTAATAAAAATACTTATAATTAGGGCAGATTGATACCTATTCTTGATTGATAGCTCACCTATTATTAGATACCTGATCATCTACCTCTTATGAAAACGAGAGAAGGTATTAAATTTCTTTTGTCACTCGATATAGTCAAATATAGGTACGAAAGAACGTCACTGAATGTGAATGCCTACCTGAAGACTGGCTGTAGTCCAAAGTCCCGTAGACCCCGCCAACAACAGGCGATACCAATTTACAATACACAATACATATGAACAAAAACACCAGAAAAGAATACCTTAATCGACGCGCAGACGACGGGCGGTGGTGGCGCATTGGAGAACAGGTATGGCCTCGACACGTTTCTCAACAAAGTGATGAGTTCCTTAGGCCCAGTCGTGTAGCCACCAGCGGCTCCACTCACTGCCTTGCCTAGAGTCGAGCAGATGATGTCCGCGGCCCCCATTATGCCGAGGTATTCTTCAGTACCCCTGTAACAGAAGAGTTTTTGTAAATTGTTATGCTAGTTCAACCGTGTTACAGAAGATAATGTGAGGTGTTTTGAAAACATTTACCTATATTTTCTAAAGATTAAAATAAAAGACAATTTTACACATCGCTTTCGTGGACCGTGAGAAGGTTAGACACGTATAGGTAGGTAACGTTACTGTTACCTAGGTACAGTACAGGTACAGTTAAATAATAGTATCTAGTAGCAGTAGTGTATGTACTTATATCTTTTTAAGGAACAGGGCGGCAATCTAGGGGATGGATCAACTAATGATAAGCCACACTGGAATCACCAGAGAAGTTGCAATTTCGTTACCGGGCCTTCAGGGCTTAGACATTTAAGGATTGAGAGACTTTAGGATGGTAGGAGGAGGGAGTTAAGGTTTGGACTTCTGGTAACCTGACTCACAAGGCGAAATACAACATTGATTGTTTTACGCCCGATTTCTGTTTGGTCGAGCAAAGACATTCAGACTCTCCGATATTGTCGTAATAATGATACGATTACTTAAATTAAAATTGTAGCTAAGGACCCCAATGTTACTTGTGGAGCCAGTGGGCAATATGTGATAAGATAGATATATATACATATATCATACATATAGACCTATTTGTTATCTTGTCCATGTGGTCGTGGACAAAATCATTCCAACGATCACATGTGGGGCGGAACCAAGTGGGGAACAACGGGAATATACCAAAGTAAATACCGGCTTATACCTTTATGAACTTAAACATCTCGCTCAACAAAGATTCCTATCATGTTAGACAAAATTATTAATGTCGTGGAAGACAAATTGACAAATTAATCACCACATGCAATGTTCCGTGCTATGGTGCGGGCGGAATAAGGAAAACTGCATTTATTCCGAATGACAAGTACCTACAAACTCTATACTGAGACATGCCACGGTCTTACCGACTTGGCCTTGAATTAAACAAAATAAAGACAAAACCAGTAGTTTTGTATTTTTTGTCAGCGAACGTACTTATTATGAAATTTCAGACAAAATATGACTTTGTTGCCGGTTCCGAATTAACCACGTAATCTGGAATAGCATTCCAAGCGTAAGGCGCGTAGCGTTCCGTTCGCGCCTCAATGAGCCTACAGACCACGACAGATGGGGCCCAACGGGACTGTTCAGCAAGGGTTGCGGATCAAGCGCAATAATACCGCGACTTCGTCCTGGAGCAGGAGAATGAACGGAGTGGTTTTTTGATACTAAGAGTCTGACACTCAAGCCCGCTAACTTCCCAAAAAAAAAAAGCTGCAAACACCGAAACATTGAAGACGGACGCGTCCCACGGATATGAATGCTGTCTAAGGTCAAGAAAGATAGAAGAAAAAAACGAAATAGGACACTTAACACTTAGGTACATTACACACTTACAAATCAGAGTGAAAATTACTAAATGCTCGTAAAGTAACGATCCAATAAAACAGACTTGAGTTTTGACATACTTACCTACTACCAGAAACTCCAAAGTAGCTACCTACCTACAAGATCTAAGACCGATCGGAGTTATGCTTTGGCTAATTCGCTGCTTCTTGATACTCCAAAAATTGACAAATCAAATTACGTGTCATAACAACAGATGCAAACAGCATGAAACTCATGAAAATGGTAGTTCTAACTGCTTCATTGGCCTCTAGGGCGGTCTTAACGGAATCAATGACAACTCCCTTAATTTTTCATTTCCCTGCATAGTCCGACCTTTGGATCAGAACACTAATTAGGAGCTAACGACCTCATTATAATGACTAATGATAAGTATTTAATTCTTAATCTCGTGATTAATAAGGTGAAATATGTTACTAAGCGCAAAACTTGAGAACAGGTAATCCAATTTTGCTTTGTCATGTTCCAAAATTTTAGAATAGTAGTAGATGAAATCGGGAAAGCAGCGTTTTTGTTGCCGTGGAGGTTCACTGACAAAACAAAAGTTCGACACCGAGGTACCTAGTACACTTGGCTTGCTAAACAGGGGCGAGTTGTTAGTTAGGTACTTAACTAATATCTATTAATGTACCACTTACAGTGTAATGAGTACAAATTATAAAATATTTAAATTAAATATAAAAAATACGATAAAGAAACAATGGGCTGTCTATTCCAGAAAACCTTTGGATGGATGAGCAGTAAGAGGAAACAGGGAGAAGGGTAGTCCGCCCTGTACAAATATTTATACTTAGTATAAGGGATTTTAAAAACATAATATAACTTGGTAAAAAACGTACAACTAAGAAGTAAAATTACAAGAACACTTGTATTAAAAGACTTAAAACCGAGGGAAGCGTAGGAATGATAGGAAGGGTACTTTATCCTCATAATACTTTTTAATTTTTATGCCTAAGACTCCAGTGTGTGCTTACGTTGCTAACGTTCCAGGATTTTACTCCTGCGCGGATGATGACGATGCTATGCGCAAATGACTCCAAAAAATTAATGAGGTCATTAAAAACTAATCATTCTGTAATACAAATTGCTCGAAACAATTAGCTAATTCAAAACTATTACTAATTACAAGAAATTAGTTGTACTCATAACGAGAAAGTAATTAAAGTAAATATAAATATCGATGGGCAAATTTTGGGAGCATCATTCACCGGTGAGACTTCTGACGACGGTACTTCAACGCAAAATGGATCGCGGTTGTGAAAAAGATTTCTTCGAAAATTGTGAACTTGGAGACGACGATGTGTTCGAAGATAAAGAAGTAAAATCAATAGCAAAGGATTTAAACACGATGGAAATTACAAAATCTGAACCTACTGAAACCGAAAACAAGTTTGAAAGTAAAGAAATAACTTCAAATCAGATGGATATTGGTGATAAAGTTGTAAATCAACTATACTTTGACGCAGCATATGATGCGGCCCTATACGAGGCTTGTGGAGCGATTGATAAAAATATTCCACCGGCGAAGTCATCTGGTGCTAAACAAACAAGGGCTGGTGGAACAAAAATAATAACTAAAAATGATGAATTTTTTGACACCAAGAATGATGCTGAGTTGTACGAAGTCTGTAGAATGGTTGGAAAGAGCGTTCAACTAACAACGTCGCCATCGTCTTCACTGGCTGGGCCCCTGAATCTTGGGCGATCTGGGGCGAAGAGAAAAATTAATGCTAAAATTGTGGAACCGAAGAGGCCACGTTATGATGAAGCATCCACATCAAGTGGTATTCGAGGTCTGAAGTCTAAGTGTTACGTATGTAACATGTGTTATGTATGTGTTATGTTGAATCATTTGGTAACCAATGAACATTTAAATAACATTTCGAAAAGTCACCAATCGCTAGACACCTGTTAAATGTGAAGGAATTCAAAATATTGGTTGTATGTTTAATTTGAAATACATGTGTAAATTGTAATGTGAGACTTATCTTTAGAAAGTTTATTGTAATCGTGTGTCAAATTTTAATAATTTAATAAAATAAATATTCACTAAAATGTTATCGTATTATTTAGCTGCTACAAAACCGTGGTCATAATAAAATATATGACATAGAATCAGAAGCATTTGACGGTTACTCAGATTCGGAGTCAGCAAGTCATTTTACAACAAATCAAATATGTATTTTACTTGAGACGATAAAGTAACATTGTTAAGTTCTAAACTTAAGACAAAGCAAGAGACATGTTACTGCAAAACCACCGTCAATCTGTTATTGTTAACCAAGTAGGTATTAGAAGCAAAAGTTCCAACAGGTCAGTCTACTCGGATCTGTCAATTGTATTTTTGACTTTATACCAAAAGTGTAAAGTTGAAATTTTGTAAACTTTTACAGAAAGAAAATGTCTGCAGCTAGCTATCGTACGTAGTTCATCTGTTTTCGTTGTGTAGGAATAAGGAAAATGGCGAGGTGTTCCAAATCCATATTTATGAGTTTACTTAAACTTGTGTTAGTTCTACGATTTACGTAACAACTTGAACTCGAACTACGGATAAGGACCTAAACAGCGATAGTCAACCAACCTTGATTCAAACGCAGCGTCTATTTATATTTCTTTAGGTATAATAATTGATTGCATAATTACGATAAGAACACTGTTCCTTTACGAAAAGATCTCCATCGTTTAATTTAACTGATGTTATGATATGGACAAAAGCGATATAAGTAGATATACTGTGAACCCTACGAGAGACAAGAAAAAAACACTTATAACAAAAAAAACAAAATTCGAATTAATTGAGAATCATTTTCATTTACAATTTATTATTCGTAAGTATTTGAAGATGTTTATTTCACCCACAAAATGGGAAGCCAGTAAAGGATTCTGCTTTGGATTTGGATCTTGGGATTCATAGTTTCCTTCTTCTGAAAGAAATTAAGAATCCCAGCAGACAGTAGAACTATGTACCTAGATAGACCACTTAGACCTCAACCTTTCAACTTTAATTTGGTGTGATCCACAAATTGTTGTTTCGAGTATCTATGGGTGGTTTGTGTGTGTGAATTTTGGTTTGAAATCGCACCCACTATACAGGAGAAAATCCTAATGTAGGGGCATTTTATATGTCTTCTCTGTTAAACATGGACACATGAGAGAAAGAGAGACAGCTCTCTCAACTTACAGAGCCGATGTAATCCTGCGGTCTGAAGGTATTATTTTCGCTGACATTTAATTGTTCTTAATTCGACTGTACTCACCGTCCAGTTTCTCCAAAGAACCCAGTGGCGTGGCTGTCGTCTACAGCTAGAAGGGTGCGGTACTTGTCTGCCAAGTCACGCAGACCCTTCAGTGGTGCCACGGTACCGTCCATTGAGAACACACCGTCTGTCACTACCAGCTTGATCCTTGCTTCACTGTGAGCTAGGAGATGCTCCAATTCTGTAGAATGAAATGTTGGAACTGTAGAATGATGTGTGAATGTCACATTTGGTCCCTCTGACCCTTTCCATTTTATGAAAGAGCTCCCCTGAGACTTGCTCACTTATTTCGCCCTAAGGACCGGTTCAACAGTCTCTTACTGACGAGAGACTAGTTTCTTACTGAATAAAAACCAACTCATTCTTTACAGCTTAGTATAGTCTAAAAACTTTAAAACGGTTGCCCTAATCAGTCCTAAAAATAGATCATCTAGAATATTTACTTCAAAAACGTTATCACAATAATAAGGCAAAAACATTTTCTGAAGTCGATTTAAAAGTGACGTGAATTTATCAGAAAAATATGATGTATTGTGGCCACCTCACAATATAACACTATCCCTAATAATAAGCCACTTCAAAACTAAGAATTACACAGGTATAATAATTAGCAAAGGTGATTAAAAGAGGACTTATAAATACCTCAAACATTGCATGAAAAATAAACCTAGTTACCTTTCAAATCTCTATGAGGATAGCGGAACTTCTGCGCCTTGCAGAGTCTGATTCCATCGATGATGGAAGCGTGGTTAAGAGCGTCTGAGAAGACCGCGTCTTCTGGGGTAAGCATGGACTCGAAGAGACCAGCGTTCGCGTCGAAACAGGACCCGTATAGGATTGCATCTTCGCGATTGTGGAATTGGGCTAGACGATGTTCTAGTTCCTATAGAAATGAAATATGACTTCTTACTTTTGTTATTTTCTTAGTATACATACATATATATTAGTTATTATATTATGACAAAATATGTGTTAGATATATAGCTATTTTATAATTGAGCAGAATCTCACTCAATTAAAATCTTTCATTTAATGATGACTATAACAAGATTAAAAAAGAATACACCTATATTTTTTTATACTCCACGTCACCTAAGTGACATGAGTTTTCGTTTTTCTGACTGTTTTTTTTTAATAGAGAGTACGAGGACATTGCCGCATCCGTAATAACCATAAAGCCGAAAACGAAATCAATTGGTTGCAAAGTGCATGCATTAAGTATTATAATTATGATAAAACGATTATTATTAAGATTTGAGGAGCGTTAATCGTCTTTATAAATAGGTAATCTAACAAATAATTAAAGTTCTTGTAGATTACTTAAACGATATATTATATTGTTATTAGGTACCTTGTGTATAGATTGTGTACCGCAAATAAATCGGACCGAGCTAAGTCCGGCTCCGTACTTCTTCAAGCCTTCTCTGGCAGCCTCCACCACCTCCGGATGATTCTAGAAGGAACAGTTTACATTGAGAATTCTAGTGTTTCTTGACACATTTATTTTATAGGTAAGTATGTACATTGATGTATGTCCTATGTCCAGCAATGTAGGAGATACAGACTGATTTGAAACTTCATTTAGATTCCAAAGACGAATATTTGTAGTTATAATTTGTTAAATACACTTACAGAAAGTCCCAAATAGTTGTTTGCGCAGAAATTCAGGAACTCTCCTTCAGCACCTTGCACTCTCACCTGAAAGTAAGGTGCTAATTAATATAAACTAAAAATATATTAACACTAAGTCAGGCAGTGAAAGCAAAAGTAGTTAAAATCAGCCATTTGTGTTCAGGTTAGGACCCAGTAGCTCTGGAGGGTAAAGACTAATCCTATAATGTATAATGGGGGTCTAGCCATTAGTGGGAGAAGCGTTTCAGCTACTCAGGTACCTACTCTCTTGAGAATCTACTTCACTACTTTATACTGATAAATATTTATAAGACATTTTTGGCGGTGTTCCGATGTGTACCGTGCAATTTAAATGGCCTATTGTTTCAAGAACGCGTTGTTAGCAATTCCGTTTTCGGTCAGTTGAAGGTCATCGCTTCTGATAATATTCTTGGTCAAAGGTACACTTATAATCTTTTAGGCATCCTACCAATCTTCAGGTGTTCAAAGATTATGCCTCGTTTTTGTTGCTGGAAGAGGTCTAAATATAATGGTCTAATTACAATGATATCTACATAATATAAGTACGAGTATGTACATTAATTTTCAATGTCCATTCCTATAAGAAATATTATATTCGTTTGTCCTGAAACAGACACGATCATTTTTAGCAAAAATATCCGCATTCATTTGTTTATCGATTAGTCGGACTTCTGTTCGCCAAAACAACAAACCATAAACTAAAGTACGCTGTGTGTGTATGTTCGAATGAAGGTGTTTGCATGTGTGCACATACATCGCATCACGGCTGCGATAACTGAATCGATACACTTTAAAAAATCGTTTAATGTGAGCAAAAATAACTGTGCGTCAGTGCCCGTATGTTTTTCCTGAACTTAACAACTCAAACTTACACAGATGTTAGGCGTCGTCGGTTATAATACATATACATACATATTTTGTTGAGGTTTCTTTTTGTTTTTTTTTTTTAATGAGATTCGCAGATTCGCTGGCAATCGATCTGTTGGATTAATTGAAAAATTAGACCTAATGGTATAGCCGCCCAAGGACAACCGCAACAACAGAGCCGTTGCAAAGTGCTTTGCCGGCATTATGGGGAAAAGGGTTTTGGGGATTCAAGAATTGGGGAGGTATAAGGAAGGGCTCGGGTTTGGCCTTTGTTTGTTTCACGCTGTGGTATTACATACTCCGGTCAAGCCGGTTGTTCTTCCCAAAAGCTTAAAGTATGGCTCTCCCACACTTAATTATACTTGAAACCAATTTAAATCCTAAGAAGAGCATTAGTAAATGACTTCTCCCACCCTGTGTGTACCGAGAGGGAGGGTCAGAAGATTGCCGAAGAAAGAATTTTATTTGTTTTCCTAAGAGGAAATTTTGTAGAAGCAACACAACACATTTTTAGCTTTGAATGTTCATTTATTTGTCTTAGCTCATCTAGCGTTAACCTTTCACAAAATACTTACCTACCACGTCTGAGGACAATGGCTTTCCCGCAAAACGTCTTAAATTATGTAATTTTTAATCATTTAAAATACCTATTATCAACGAAAACAAACATTAAGCTGTGTCGTCGATACCTCAAGGTTAACGACTTTAGAATATATTTACGCGCATTTTTGTCTCTTCTACACAATACGAGCGACTTTGGGGGCCATTTTGGTTGGACCATATTTACATCTATACAACGTAAAATACGCCATAGTTACAATAGAAAATAATCTTTATATCTATATATTTTTGCAATATAAAAATGAATTGCTTAATGTGTTAATAATTATACTTAACTTTAAAAAAGTGCCTGGACCAATTTTGCCCATAAATTAAATTTGGATTTGTTGTTACCAGGAAAAGTTACGTAAGTATAGAAGAAAATGCTAGAAAAGTTAAAGGAAAATTTGGAAATCGTCGATGGGAAACGAGGGATGGATTGAACACAATTATGAAGCATCTAGCACTATCCCCCGATAGTTGATTGTAACACTGAGCAAGAAGTCAAGAAGACTATATTGTTTAACCCGATACATCTGAATTAATATTATAACTAGTATATACCTATATGATGTCATATCTTATATATCTAATAATTGCATTTATTCACTACGAACACTTAAATACCTATATTTAATTATTTAATGATGATAAAGATGATTGATGATCGTGATGGTCCAAAAATTAGTTCTTTTTGAAAAGGAACGAATAGACCGAACACTTAATGATAACTGGCCAGTTTTTTCCATGGACACCCACGACACCAGAGGAGTCACAAATGCGTTGTCGATCTTAATGCCTACTTTATCGGCCTGTATTCAATAGATAAATTATTTTCGACAATCCTTTTTTATTGAGAACGTCTTAAAATGACTGTTCGGCCTGGAGCGACTGGAACGACAATTAGAAGACTTTTAGTCTATAAGAGTCTGCCACTTTCTCTCACTCCATGCAGGGCAGGAGAAGTCTTTGATAATAGGTATAAAGCCCCCTTAAAAAAAGTTTGCTTTCAAGTAGTCCTTGGAAAAGTCTTACTCATCCATCATCACACATCACATCATCAGCCTATAAGTGCCAACTTATAATTAGAAATTATAAGTCCAGGTTTCCTCACGATGTTTTTGTTTACCGATTTTCAGTGGTGTCTAAATAATCATAAAAAGTAGGTACGCATATGACTTGGATTAGTCATATTGGTACTTGCAAGGTTTCGAACCCGCGCCCTCATGCACGACAAGCCGGCTTACCACGCCAACAAGTAAGTCTTAACATGCATAAAACCTCTTTAATCTCTCTGATCTGACTCTGAAGGTTAATGTAATGTAAGGTACATCAACCTGCAGTCAGATCATACAATCACGTATTTTGATACAGTACCAGATAAACAAGAAAGGAATAAGCGCATTTGTGCATAATGCCTTAGATATGAACAATAAAGACCACTTATTACTGCTAACTAGATATCCCTATGTACTTTTTTTATGTAATAGGTCGGCAAACGAGCAGACGTGTTATCTGACGGTAAGCAATCAACGCCGCCCATGGACACCAGCAACAGAGGAGTTACGAGTACGTTGCCGACCTTTTGGGTATTAGGGATTTGGAGATTTCAGGATTGGGGGAGAGGAAGGATTAAGTCTCCGGCAACCTCACTCACACGGCGAAACACAACGCTGTGGTAGTTTCACGCCGGTTTTCTGTGAGGCCGTGGTATCACTCCGGTCGAGCCGACCCATTCGTGCCGAAGCATGACTCTCCCACACTTAAACTGCTATGTACCTACTTGTAAATAAATGGCCAGGTTCAATAACCTCACGGTTAGTATATTTGGTATTTTTTGAGTTGTGACACAAAGTCAAAGTTTCTATTTGAAAAGGCAGTTTAGAATAATCAAATTTGAATGGTTCCTCAGTCCGTTCATCAATGAAGGTAAATGCAGATTTTTATAGAGATTAGTAGTCCAGTCCACCTACCTATAATTTGATTATTGGGACTAGTCGTTAACGCATTAGGTACTACCTAGGTCTTCATAACATACTAGATCTATTTAACCCTTAGAAATCCTTTCAGCTATTGTTTTCTATTTTGTCGGCAGTGCAAGTTTTTCCATTAGGCTATGGCTCCATCTGCCGAACTCTGAGTTCAGACATAGATGATAACTTGAACCATTCTTTGGTAGGTAACGATTTTGTTCCAAAAACAATTGGTAAGCACAGATTTTAGTAAACGTTACATGACTTTAGGCACCTCGGCGGCATATCTTCTATATTAATTATATGTTTTAATCAAAACAACTGGCAAAGAATTTGTTTTCTATTTGAACAGTAATTACCGTAAACTTGAGTTTTTTTTTAAATAACTACTTACTCCCGTCAATAAACTGAGAAAGACTCTACCTACCTACTAGTTTCAAGCCGACATCGGGTCGGTCGCAGCGTCGAGCACGCTGCTCATTAAGAGGAGGCCCGCTGTGACTTAAAACTAGTAGAATTTCTAACTTACCCCTTTGTTAATATTTTTGTGTCATTTCTTCACTCACCTTAGTATCTTGCGGAGAAGTAATAATCCTCTCGTGTTTCCATGTTTTGGCGCGCTTTATATCCCGCAACCGATCCTCCAGCACGTCGCGCAGTTTGGCGACTCCTGCGCGTTCCTTGTGGAGCTCGTGGAACTGACGAGTGTGGGTGCCATTGAGACCTGGAAGACAAAAACTTCTTAGAAAGAGCAGAAGAAAAAAATGCTAATGTGATTGATGATGCTTGAGACTTTAAGGTACTATTAAGAAATAACCCGTTAAGGATGACATGATTAGATAATAACATACTAGAGCGCGGAGTTCGAGGTATTATTAAGTTATGTCTATCTACCTAGCCTATGGCCACGTTACCCGCCAGAGGTTTTGATTGGTTGGTAAACTTGGAAATGGCCAATCAGAGAGCCGAACGTCGTCAACGTGCCAATTGCGTTGCCAAAATGAAAACTCGCACACGGCACTCTTATGACTTTCAATAACAATTTTTTTCTCGTTAGTGCACTACAACATTAGGTACTTGTTCTATAAGCGAATCAATAATTAATAGGAATAATCCACCACTGATCCTTTTGGAAATACTTATTTATTGACACTTGACCTTTTAAAGTAGGTACCAGTTATGCGAAACTGGCTCAACTTGAAAAATTGGTTTCGCTGTCATTCTTGTTGCCATAACTATGATTTTTATGGGAAGGGACGGCAATCGAGCCTACAGATCACCTGATCGTAAGTAATCAGCGCCACTCGCGGACAACTGCTTCCCCAGAAGAGTTACAAATTCGTTACCGGCCTTTTAGAAGATTGGGGTATTAGAGAATGGGAGCGGGCGGGATTGAGTATACGGTAACCACACTCACACGACTTTTAGACTGGTCTTCTGAGAGCCATGGCTCTCCCATACGTATTTTAATAGTTTATTTCATTAATAAAGGAATGTAAATTAAGTCAATCGTAAACAAATTAAAGCTGATGTTTAAAAGCAACATGCGATGATATGACTTCTAAAATTTACGCATCAGTCAGATGTGAGATTGTTGGAGTCAACGTTCATAACATCAACTTCAAGGCGTTTATGGCGAGACTTTCGACATGTTTTTTCCTCCCTGCGTTGTAAGGTACCTAAGCTTTCAGTTTGATAGAAACTTTTTTGTTTTATAATAACATGAATTGAAAATATTGCGCAGTGGCCCAAAGGACCAAAATTTGAAACCTGGCCTGTTTGTGTGCAATGTGACTTTTTTAGAGTTACAGTAGAATTATTTAGACACCGCTTACAAAGGGTGAAACGTCGCGAGGAAACCTGGACTTATAATTACGAATTATAAGTTTGGACATGCCAATCCGCCTTAAGCAAGCGTGGTGATCTCAGCAGTGGGCACTTTTAGGCTGATGATGTGACGTGAACGGAATAAATACAAACTGGTGTTGTTCGGTATGTCTTAATATCGACAAAACAAATGTCATTGAATGTCGAGTCGCCAAGTTTAGTGTAAAACAGATGTTCGAAGGTAGGTATGAAGGTAAGTACCTAAGGCCTTTGCAAAGAAACACTCGTATTATTGTTGTTAAGTGTCTTATTTCATATTGCAAGTTTAAAAAACTGCATACTTAGGTCTTATTATTTGTACCTGAGTAGAAACGACAAAAAACTTGACGTTTCAATGGTAGGTACCTAGTTTTTTTTGTGAGGGGAAAACCATCAAATGCCTTCTCCCGCCCAGGGCCGGGCAGGAGGGAGTGTCAGACTCTTACTGATTAAAAACCCCCCTGTTCCTTATTCTGCTCTGGGCCGAGGTCGCGGTGCCTCATTGCGCTTACCCCGCAACCCCGGGTAGGTGCCTAGTTGGAGTAAGTGTTTTTGATTTTGAGTAATAGGTAGATACATTCTTTAATAATACTTTAATGTTTCAAAAGTACCTGATTGGAATAAAGTTTTGGAATAAAATTGGTTGTTGACTTTGACTTTGACCTTGACTTTGCGTTTTATGTAATTGTGTACTTACCTACTCAAAAATAGGTAGAAAAATGACAAACCTTTAGTTCGAGTTTGAATAATAGTTACTTATATCTAAGTAGAAAACGCCTTAAGTTGCCCCACAGAAAATTAAAGAGTTAATGATACTACTTTTGACGTTTCAAAAGTATCTGGTAAATACATGTTTTTGACTTTGACATTGACTAAATACCTAGTGAAGTTTTCTATACATATTTAGGATTTTGATTTGAGTTATAATGTCAAGAACGATATTTAAGTCCGTGGAGTAGCGTTCGCTTAAACCTGATCTTATAATCTCTAACCCAATCGTGAAGATTATAGGGAGCTCCGTGTACCTAAAGGAAGACCATAGCCTACGTCTGATCCTAGAACCTACTAGCGACCCGTTAATGCTATTACTTAGTTTCTCCAATATTTAATAGATACTATTTAACAAATTATAAAACTTCCTCTTCAATCACTCTATCTATTAAATAAACCGATGCAAAATCCGTTGCGTAGTTTTAAAGATTTAAGTATACATAGGGATATAGGGACAGAGAAAGCGACTTATATATGTAGTGATGACGCTAAGATTATAAGAATGATCTGACTTCACCAACCCAGTCCACTTATCTATCTACCTATCTTTAATCGTATCGTGCTCATCCATCAACAATATAAAACATATGCAAACATAATATATGGGTTGGAGCAAACAAGTAAATAACTGTTATCTTTACATACTTAAAGAGCTCAACCAATTATAATGCAATTTCTTTGTACAAGGTCTCTTTAGATAAACACACAATTATGTATTATATTACACACGCTATGGGGTATAATGTTAAGCTGAAATTTGCAAAATGATCTGTTATTATATCTACAAATTTCGTTCTTTTGAGAGTTTTTGATGAAGTTCCGCTCATTGGGTTCTGTCTATGGGATCCTAGAAACGTTTAACCAAAGATGATAACATCTGTTTTATTAAAAAAAAACAAACAATTTCAGAGTCTCAGATAAGTCAGACAAAACTGCTCAGGTAAAACTATGTCCTAAATTATACGTATTTATATGTAGGTATCAACCGAATTCTGCTTGCCCGAACTGATCAAAATTAAATAACAAATGAGTAGCTATACAATATAAGAATATAAGTACGTAATAGTAATATAAGTAAAGCCAATCAAAACAGAAATCATGTTATAAATATTATAATATTTCCTTTTCCGTGTGCAAAACAACAAATGTTTTTTCTCGTGAATTATAATATAAATGATGAATTTTAGTTTGGAGTAGGTATTATTATTTAATCAACTCTACCAATATGCTACACGGAATGTTAATATAGCACGCAAACACTAATGAGGCTTCCATTTGACACTTTTCGTGGCATTCCTCTAATAAGGTACTTACTGAATTTTAGTTATAAAGTCCTAACAAAGACAAAACATTCAATATGCGACCTTAATGTCGTAACAAAATATAAGTTGGTCTATCAAAAACCTGTAATCCTCGTTATAAAAAAGACGCTACCAAGGTTGTACTTAAACGAAGAGAAAAACACTCTCTTTGTTGACACTTTTTTGTCCACACATTTCAACATTATATTCACATTCACTTTTTGAACGATTTTTCTAGAAAATTTTAGCACTAAAGACGCAAGGAAATTGTTAAAAAGTATTTTTAATGTAAATAAATGTACTCACAGTTGCGCAGGAGTTGCGAGCGGAGCGCCATCGCGACGAATGGGGGCGCGGCCGCCGGCCGGTGCGGCGCGAGCGCAGACCAACTCTTTAGCAGACCAGTCACGCAGGTTGTGCCGTTTCGTGTGTTCAAACATAATTTTGTTTTCATTACATGGTTATACCTGAATGCTTTCTTGCTTTAAAAGAGTATTTGTTAACGCGGTTTTTAAACACGGAACATGATGAACGTAAATGTGTTTCTCTGTTTTATGTTTGATTCTGTTTTGTTTTGGTTATGTATTTACAGTACCTATAACAGTATACAAACTAATATTATTAATAATAGTGTGCCTTATCATCAATGATTGTATCACTGCTAACTAAAATCAATCGGGTGGTATTGCAGTTTAAAAAACATATAAAATAAGTACAATTTATTTAATCTCAGTTAAAAAACAATACCTCGTTTCAATGACATTCCTACCGGAACAGTATCGTTATGACAGGAAAATAATCAACTTATTCATTACAGCCATAAAAAATTAAAGGTCGAATTTTTATTACTAACTTAATTAATATTTACTTATTATCTATTAATTTCTATTTTTCTCCTTCCATAGCTATTCCTTACTCAATGCGCTCAATGCATCAGTTCACTATACCAGTCAAAGAGGACGTTTTATCTGCATAGCACAACAACAAATAATCTTGATACTACCTATACGTAGGTATACTTACATACATAGTGCCTGCTTATGTAAATGGAGACGCCGAAAACATTACGTCATTCCTAAGCGTAACCCGACTACTTGTACTAGACTTCTAATACAATATCTACTTCAAAATAAGTTTAAAAAAATCGTGTGACCTCTAAATGTACTTGTATATGAGGCTAAAATTATCAAATGACCTCTCTTGCCGTGAGTGGAGGCGAGAGGAAGTGTCAGACTCTTACTGACTAAAATCCCCCCGTTCCTTCTCATGCTCCAGGCCGTTACGCGCTACCTTATTACGCTTGCGCCGCGATACCGGCTGATCCAGATGTAGCTCTGAAAAATCATCGTCAAAAGTATCGTCAACTGTTTATTTTTATCCTGCCAGTTACAGTAGCTCTTTAGAGGTAACTTTTTAACCGTTTCGAAGCCCAAAAGGAGCAGCCTAATAATTTTTAATGTAGGATTAGTCTTTTTGGGGCAACCACCCAAAACCGCTACAACTCCTGGAGGCCAGAATCTATCTACAGTAGGTAGATACAATCACAAAAACACCGGAGCGACTCAAATTATTTTTTACTTGAATGATTTTACAAAAATATTCATACGGAAGTTGAGAAAGAAAATTTGATAAAAGTAATTTTTGATATGGATCACGTCTCGATCCCGTAGGTTACAAGGGCTTGTTTGTTTGTAACATACAGAGCTATGTACCTTCCCACTAACATGCCTACGGATATTTAGCAGTGCGCTTCTAATAATATTTATCTTTTAAATCCTCATTTCAATTTCCTCAAACGCTGCCTAGTTGTTTACAAACAATCCACTTTCAAATGACTTTGTAAACAAATCAATTGCGTCATCTAAGGTTAACCCGTCTGTCCCGCTAGCTGTTTAATCTAATATTTTTTGCGAATGCGACGAGTCTTTGACAGATAATGGAGCAGGTAGGTAGCTGTTTTGTTACAATGCAATGTCAAAATAAAATTCTTCAATGCTACCGAGCGGACGACGCGTAGCTAGCGTTCTGCGCGCGCCTCAAAGAGCCAATAGACCACCACAGACGGGGCCCTATAGCACCTATAATAGGGCTGAAGTTGAGCCGGGGTTGTGGGATAAGCGCAATGTGCCTCGGCCTAGAGCAGGAGAAGGAACGGGAGGGGGGGGATTAGTCAGTAAGAGCCATTTGATGATCTTCCTTTCACAAAAAAATACTTAAGTATAGGAAATTATAGATATAGGTAGCTATTTAGGTAAGTGTAGCAGCTCACACATAGATCTCATTACAATCAAATAATCTCAAAAGAGTCATTCATGTCCCTGGAACCTGCCAGACTTCAGTGTTCCGGTGTTTTCATGGTTAGGTACTTCAGATCCTGGCTTACACGAGTTGCAGGCTGCAGCGGTTTCGTTTAAAGCAAATGAGGTAAGCGTATGTGTAGATTGCTACGCGCATCAACAATGTATTGTTGATCGAAGACGTAGTGCAAACTTGAGTAGGTACCTACGTAGGTAAGTAGATATTCGTTGCGCTTTCGCTTCACTATGAAGACACAATTCTTGGATTCTTAGATTCTTTATAATGGATGTTTTTGTACAAAATAATATGAACTTTTCTATTGAATCCCTCTCTCTATTAAAAACTCATAAACATGCGATGCGTATTTTTAAAGATTTGAACATATGTGGGGAGAGATAAAGCGACTTTGTTTTATATTAAGTACCCAGTGATTGTGCAACAGTCCCCTTGCCCAAAGTATACGTACCTGGTGCTTATATTCTCTTTGGCCCTAAGTAAGACAGACAGAAAGAAAATGAAAATAAAACATATTTTTATTTTTTAATGAATTTATTTTACAAATTTGTGTAAGGCACTTTGGATGACAAATGAGGATTCACTTCATTTTTATTGTTCTTTTGTTCCTATCCACTAGCTGGTTAAAGACGACTCTGTAACAAAAACATTTAGACGTTAAAACCTCCACGTTGAATTATATCTAGAACTAGCTAGCGTTTTCTAACCTTTAAAACCTTTCCTGGACTTCCACGAATATTTCAAGACCAAAATAAGCAAAATGGGACCATTCGTTCTCGAGATTTAATAATAGGTACTAACGAACAGCATTACATTTTTACATATTAGATAATCTATGAAAACCTTAAAGGAAGTACTGGGATATGTACCAATTTTCCTAATCTTTGAAGATTAGTTGTTTATGAGGTAGGTACCGCGAACCGAAAATTTTTCCTCTGATGAGATGATTATAAATGACGTTATGGATATAAGTAGGTACAAGTAAATTAGTCTTTACCTCAGGTCCAACGTGAATGGCCAGCATCATATCATAATCGTTGGCCCCAACGGTGATGTGTGCCCGTCCATCGTTGCCCACAGTAACGGTCTTACCCTGGCAAGAGTTGCCCACCTTCTCACCTGATATCACGTCACAATACCTGCCTGCGGGCAAGCAAGTCTGGAAAAGAACATTTTATTTAAATGAACGAATGAATGAATGAAATTATTAGATACTATAGTATTCTCATAGATGGCGCTACGTTCAACATTCCAATGATGTCGTTAATTTTAATTTTAGATTGGTTTTAGTTCTTTACAAGTTTATATAACCAAGGTAAGAATTAGCATTTGTTTAATCTTATTATTTCTTCATTATTCTGCGAGAAACGATAAATTGTTGAGACTGTAAAATATCCAAGATACCTAGTACATAAAACAGAACACAACCAGGATACCTTTTTAGATGTATTTAGATACATACACATACCTTGTGTTCAACTAAAATAATATAAGAACTTCCAAGAAGAAATTATCATTATCGAACTATCTTTACAGGTGAACATAAAACTTCTAGAAAGATAAGCACATAGATACAAAACTAAATAAAAGTTAAAAGAAAGCGAAGAAGAAATCTCTCAAATCACACTCTACCTGCAGATTCTGGTTAAGATTCCAATAATCATTGTTGAAAGCAATGAAAGCGTTGCCTCCACGGCAGAAGGCGATCTGGTTGCTTCCGTTATCCCACCAGTCGTTGAGGCCAGTGTTACCGGCCGCGTTCCTGAACGCCACCATTGCGTAGATCTGACGCCAACGGTGCTGGCAAATCCAACCGTTACCACAGGATCCATCCTAAAGAGGAAACAAAATTAGACATAAACTCTATTGGAAAACATTCAAATCTAGTCTTTGGAATGAGCACCTTGCTCTGAGACCATAGAAAAGTATAGGTAATTCGTCCATGACCTAACTCAACTGACGATATAAAGTACATTTCTTCCATGACCTGGCTTCTCAGACTCACTAGCTGAGAGACTATTAATCTATTTTGACGTTACAAAAGTACCTATTTATAGTTTAGTTGGAATGAAGGATTTTAACTTTGCCTTTGAGTTTGTACCGAGTATTTGCCTGGCATTAGAATAGTACTTAAGCTTTTTTTAGATAAAAATGTTGCCCCACATTATTAGAATTTTCCTATGTGTCATGGGTGCGTTTTCAAACATATAATTTCACATACACACCAATCATTACACCAAAACCCGGAACAACAATTTGTGGATCACACAAAGAGTTGTTCCGTGTGGGAATCGAACCCGCGACACGTTGCAACTTATACGGTAGCCAGTTGCCCCGCCAACGCGTCAACCATGTAGTCATTACTTTTGTGCAGTTCAGGCTTTATCTTTATATTAGTTTTGTTTTGCACTATTTTATACCTTTTATATTTTTATATAGATTAAGATTACATAATACTTACGTATAAGATTAAAATAAGTGATAGATAATAAAATTTATTAGTACTCTAGTGTAGGTAAATTGAATTAAATACCGATGACTAAACGAAACCAATAGATCGAAATCTTTTTTAATATTTATTGACTAGAAATGATAAAAATCTACTCACAGAATTGAAGGCAGGCGAAATGATGTTTCCGTTGTTATCCATTGGAGGACCAACTTCGCTGTCCCAGAAATCGAAACTGCTCATAATCTGAGGCTCTCCATACGGATGGGCAAGTAGGAAAGCAATAGCAGCCTTATAAGGACGGGATTGTTTGTAGGTAAGGACACCACCTCCACCGCCGTGACCTCTCTCATTGTCATGGTTATCAATGAAGGTCAAAGAATCTTCATGAGCCAACAATCCCCATTGAGGTCCCCAGCTCGACAACCAACGGAGCTGGTTATTTCCTCTAAACGCGTTACTCAGTTCCAAACCCACTTTGAATTCTGTCACAGCTCCAATAGGAGTGTATTCGTCCCTGCTAATAGCTTCACTGCCGTAATCAATAACTTCTTGGTAGATGTAAGGACGGGCGTTGGCTGGGAAGCCGTGGGCTGTGTTCAGGTTGTGAAGACGGTCGTAAATGACACGGAGGTCACTGGGCCACATGTGTTTGGCAGCGTCAATCCTGACAATAAACAAAAGACAGATTTTAAAGAATTACATACATACCTAGGAGTTAAAGAAACGTTTGTGTTTCACCGTATGGCTAAGTTAAGTACCGAAGCCCCAGCGCCAAAGCTTGGGGATGCATTAATACTTCTCTGGTGTTCCGAATGTCAATGGGCAGAACAAATTGCTTAACATCAGGTGATATTCATACCAGTTTGACTTCCACACCATTAAAAATAAAGTGCAGTTTATGTCATTTTCGTTCTTACCTGAATCCAGCAACTCCCAAATCGATGAGTTCGTTCATGAAGTTTACAATCATGTTCCTCACATGTTCGTCACCTTGGTTCAGGTCTTTTAGACCAACAAGCTCACAGTTGCGCACCTGTAAGACATTGGAGACGTTAACTTTTCACAAACCTAATGCCGCCATCAACTTGGTTGCTAATAGCTATGGTTTCAAATTACCACTTCCCAACTTACTAGACCCACTGACCCAGAACTGCCAAAAACTGGAAACATGCCACGTAATCAAACCTCTACTAGATGTTCGAGCACTCGGCTTCGCAGCCGAGCGCTCGTCGAGTCAACATCTCCTGAGGATTTCCTGTGGAGGGGCGAAACACGTGTCGAGTATAGGTTTGATTGCGTGGCATATTTTTCAGATTTTTGCACGTGTGCATATGCATGATTGCATAGGAGTGGGATTGCATCCTGCAACAAGCCTGAATTTTGTCACGGAATAAAAACTAAATATTTTCCCTAACATTTAATGTCATGAATTGGCGCAAAGTAACGCCTGATTCGATAAATTATTTTAAGAATATCTTGATTACTTACTCTCCAAGCATCAGTGCCATAATCGATATCGTTGATGACGCAGTGTGGCCAGTTGAAGTGCTGTCGGTTGTAGGGCACAGCGGGGTAGTTCCATTCGGAGAAGACAGCAGTGCTACCAGCAGTCCCAACGTTCTCTCGAGGCTCACCCGTCATGTGGTTGATTACAGCGTCTACGTAGATCCTGGGATAGAACATTCGCAATCAATTTTTAATTTTGGTATATCTATACAAAATGTGTGCAGTTTTTGCAAATGTGTGCAATTTTCTTCCTTCCTTTCACAGCAAATTTTTGGAATAAAATTTCCGAACCAATTCGACCTTCAAAGATTAAGAAACGAGCGTATTTGCGCCTCCAACACCTCTGGTGTTATTTATCATTTACCATCAGGTAATCCATCTGGAGCGAGCACATGCTCGTTTACCCCTAATTCCATAAGAAAACTACTTTTTCAGTACCCAAATTAAATATTGATTGACTTTTGATACTCTTTCACTGCTAAATCTAGAAATTTGTCACTGTTTCATTGATAAAATTAGAAATTATGCGTTGTAACTTGTATGGTTGGAATCTCGAAGATTCAATTGATGGACAAAACAAAGTATTTTAGCTTATCAATTTTGTTTATAGATATACCTATTAATCTAGTATGAAAAGAGAAAATAGTTCAAAGGCTTAAGAAAACCTAGAACACTATTTTTTTATTGTTACCTGACGCCTGCAGCATTACAACGTCGCAACATGTTGGCGAACTGCGCCTCGTTGCCGGAACGAGTGACCAGATTGTAAGACATGGGCTGGTAGCGCTCCCACCAGGGACGGTTGTAACTCCATAGCACCACGTTCTCGTTAGGTGGGGAAATCTACAAGTACAATTGAAAGTTGACGATAAAAACAAGACAGAAATTCACTGAGTTGGGTGAAGATAAAAAAATTACTTAACATCATTTAACATCATTTAAATTAGGTATTTCGGAGATAATACAGGGTATTTCGAACGAGGGACACATTCAAGGACGCGATTCTGTTGTATGGGGAAATCAATTTATTTTTCAGATTTGGATATTGGTCCCATGGAAAAAGTTGTTGTAATTGAGCACCAAAATTGCCTCCTTGAATAATGTCCCTTGTTCAAAATGCTACCCTGTATAATAATATGTTACTTTGATGGATGTTATTTTTTCAGTTTGTTTTTATTTGTGGAAGATTTTTATGATACACCTAATCTCATATTTAGAACTGTTGTGTTCGCCTCTAGCGAAATAATCAACTAGAAAAATGGTACGAAAATTCTTCATTCCTGTTCAATTGTTCCTTTATTTTTCCTGCATAAGTTGCATTTAAAAGATTAATAAGTTAAAACGTAAAATTACTCATTCACTCACCTGAATACCACCAAAACCTCTCGGTCCAAGGAATGTCTCGCACTCATTAGCGATGTCATCCCATTTCCATTCGAAGAGGTGGACATTCACTGACCTATTAGGCGCATAGTGAGGGTTCTTGTACGCAGTTACGGCTGTTGCGAAGATCGCCAAGCTGCACAGGAACGTCAGCCAGCCCTAGGACAATGAAAAAGTCTATATAACATCACTCATCATTATTATCTTGTACCTAATAGGAAGAACATCCACTCTAAAGAAAAATCCCATGAGGGAGTTGGCCGCAATCCCACCTTTCCCAATTCTTGATAACAGCATTAGGGAGAACTATTCGGTCACAGAAAAGGGTCTTTGCTCTGTGAACGTAGGTGATCGGATCCAAGGATAAGCAAGTGATAGCATAAATATATCTAGAACAATCGGTTGATTAATGTGTTTAGATAACTATAATCGTAAAGTGTGCGCGCATAAATAACACATAGTTAACTAAACAATTCTCCTGCACCCAGTCCCTATAATAAGGTTTAATTAAACGCATAGCTTGATTCCTTTCATATAAGTAGGCAAAAATGGCAGGGTCATGTATACTCCAACACGAGTGGGCCTGATCGAACGGAGTGATACCACGGCTTCACAGAAAACCGACGTGAAGTAACCATAGCGTTGTATTTAATTGCGTGAATGAGGTTATCGGTGACCAAATTCTTTCCCGTCCCCCCGAATCCATACATCCCCAAAACCTGTTATCCTCTAAAGACCGATAACGTATTCTCAATGGCTCTAGTTTTGGAGGTCAGGGGATGTCCAATTGTCCATAGATGGCACCGATTGCTTACCATCAGTAATCCGTCTGCTCGTTTGCCGCCGTAATTACCGCAAGAAAGGTAAACCATATTATTTACCATCATATTCATAATATGATCAATTTCAATGTATGAGGTACCTACTAAAGAAACTAAGAGAACATCAGATTTGGATAAAATATAATACAACTTTTTTTAATAAATAATAATTTTATTTAAAAATATATTATTTTATTAGACTTACCATCTTTTCGCGACCTTATCGAATTAATGACCACACAGTACTAATAAGCCTAGATTGAAAATAAACAAGTAGCTGGGAGTTTAGTCATTATTAAATACCGATAAACAGGGCAAAAGTAATAATCCTATTCCGTATCAATACTTTACACCACATTAAAATCATGATAAGGCAAGTTTTCGAATGATATGTGTTTCTTTTAAACATAGATTTGATCTTTTTAAGTGATAATTTTACTTAAGTATTATCCAGCCAACACAGATAAACGGATTACGATACCCTGCAAGCCGCACAGAGCTATTTATCTTAAATCTCTACCTAATCTTAATTCTTCTTTGGTCAGATTTGACTGATAATAAATATTATTAAGTAATAGGTCATTTGAAACAATATCTAATTATACAAGATGCAGTCGTAATTTTCTTTATAGAAGATGTTAAAGAAACATAAAAACGAATAGGTATTTACAAAACAAACTTCAAAATACATTTTGTTTCTTTACCTAGAACTAGAATGAGTCAAGTAAACCATTATGCTATGTACTGTACCTATATATATTCCGTGTGCTTTACATATATATTTTTTTTAATTTTCCCACTTTTATGAAAAATTATTGCCAGCTTGTAAAATTAAGTTATGGCCAGTAGAATTTGTAAGTATTGAGTTTATAAAAATCTATTTGTAAGTATTGAGTTTATAAAAATCTAAGGTGTTTCTACTGCTATTAGATGTAAACTAAAAAAATATTTATATTTATTAAAAGAGGTGTCTTTTAAAATAAAAATAAATTTTGTTCTGGCAACTATGCTATTTGCGCACTTGTTGATTTTCGTCGTCGTTGAATCATTCATTTAGTTCATTCTTCAAACTTTTTCATTCATTCACTAAAGTAAACTTTCTCAGTGGCAGACGTTGTACTTGTTTCTAATTCTAAAATATTTTTTTTATTTATTAATTGAGTTAGCTATTTGCATAAATATTACATGTGCCATTTTATATTATCCAGCGCTAATTCATTGTACTTCTAATACAAGTAACAGACCAGTTTACTCTAAAACAGTGTATCAAATTTGGATTTTTTCGTGTTGTTTATTTTTACAACTGTAAATTCCTCTTGTCTTGTAAACAATTTGTTATAATTTGTGAATATGGCTGGCAAATTCTACTTCGTAGTAGCGTTAGTATGTATAGTGCCGTTAGTATACGCATGTAATGAAGCCATTTGTGCCAGTGTGGTGTCTAAATGCATGTTGACCCAGTCATGTAAATGTGACCTGAAGGATTGTTCCTGCTGTAAGGATTGTTTCAACTGCCTCAGCTACTTGTACAGCGAGTGTTGCAGTTGTGTTGGTGAGTACTTCATTTATAAGCATTTCCTTACTAAGAACAGCTAAAAAGTTACTGCTGTGATAATAAATCACTTTTGAGTTAAAATTACAAACTAATAGTATTTTTGTTGTTAAAAGACGCTTAGGCTTACATTCTGATTTGTATAAAGAGGCTTATCAAAAAAAAGTCTTCATCTACAAATCCCTGGGTAACACTTGCTACAGTGTGACCTTCTACTAACTGCATTTTCCAGGAAAGCTCAGTACATGAAAACAATAATATCAATTTATGCATACAATGTCTATCATTGCAACTGATAGCCTAACAACGTCATTTATTGTCCGCAGACATGTGTCCAAAACCAAATGACACACAAACGGAATTATCCAAGACATCTTATGTGGAGGAGTTAGCTGATGGTGTGCCCGGACTCTTTGCTGCCCTCACCAGTGACCCAGACCCTCAACAGAGGTGGCTCTCCATCACATACCCAGTGGACATTGATTTGTCAGCCTACAGAGCTGTTCCGGAGAAAACTGTTGTTTTTCACTTACGTAAGTAACACAATTATATTATAATTAAATCTAAATTGATAAGATAATTCTACGTAATGAGTGTTATTTTGTGGTGTACAACACTTAATTATTTATGTCAATAATAAGGACCAAAAAATTCATAAATATAGGATTCAAAGTACCTTATTTAAGTAAAGGTTGTCTATGTTCCGACAATTTTTTTTTATTTACATTTATTAAAGGTTTTTTGACTGATGCCACTCAACTTAACATCCATGCCAATGAACGGATAGTCAACAACATACATCTCTAAAATATATATTCTTTTAATTTTTCTTAAAACCACGGATTGTTAAATATTTGTTAGGACAATGTTAATAGAGTAAACAACAAGTTAATGAGTCATAGAGCAAGATTATAATTTAATAGATTTCATTACCACTCCTCTATCATTTGCATTACATTATTAAAATAAAATATATCTTCTTGTATATCCGATTACTACTGTTTATCATGTATTATATTTCTTTAAATTAATCTTTAATTAATTTCGCTCGCTAGGAGGTCACCAGGTGGCATGATTTGACATTTAAATGACAAAAAGCTTGTAAAGAGTTACAAAAGTCTTTAGTTTATAAGCCAATTAAGTTCCACATGAAAACTTTAGACATTTGCCCTGAAAAGCGAACCGAAAATTTTATTGTTTCGAATGCAATTCTGATTCCATTGAAACCCACTATAAACATATATATAACACATAAAGTTTATTTTCTGACTTCTAGCCAGAACAAAAATCCTCTTCGTAAATGACAAATACCTAAAAATCCCATTCGCTGTCGACTATAGGTACTAAAAGCCGAAACTACTAAAAAAGCCGTTAAACTCGGACACAACAAAAAGGAAATACAAATTGAAAGAAAGTATAAAAAGTACACTAGGCTCTTAACGCAAGCAATTACCGTAATCCGTACCGACTATGTTCAATCTTCGACGAAGGAAGGACATTAAAAAAAAAACAAAAGAATCGTCAGCGCCGGCGCGCGGCTTCCCATAGAGAGATGAGCATGATTCATTATGGTGGAATGTAAACATCTACCTGCACCTAAAATGACTTTATTAACGGCCGATCGATGGTGTGGTCCGTGCTACATCATTTACCTACGTTATTGATTCCCAGAATTTTGATTTTACCTTTTAATTGTGCTCAATCGTGGTAATATGAGACGCGGCAGTAAGACAATAGGTGCCCCAAAGGAGGCCTTCGCTTAGAGTTTGATGAATTAAATACATATTAGTGTACTTTGTTCCCAACACTTCGCCTAAAAACTATATTTTCATGTTATTTTCCCTTAGATGCACAAATATTTCGAAATCGAAATCAATCGTGCGCGTTGTTCTCGAATTGAAATTCATTCAAAACTTTACCGTTCATTCGATTAAAGAAGATTATTCATCTATTTTGGATTCTCGAAGAAATAAAGAATACTTAGACGTCTTTTAGTCATTTGTCCGTTTGCAATTTCAATTTGCAAATCTTGCGGCTTAACGCTGTACCAGATTTCTGATAAACAATTTGTTATCTCTCTCATTTGCGCCTGCACAATACACGCGCAGTTATAAATTCTATTGAATAAAATTAGTTAACTCCTTCAAAGGAATTTAGTCCCGTTGGTGTTGGTGCATGAATAACCAATTAGGTAGTACCAGTATTTACGATTATTTTAAGAATAGCTCTTTCATAATAGAAACTGTTAATAGATAAACCTTTTTCTCGCTTAGCGGCGCCAGCTTGCTGTATAATACCCTCTTTTAATTCATCAAACCCCAAGCGCACCTATTGTTTTTCTATTGTGTGTCGAATTACCACGATTGTAAAATGTCGCACTATTCATAGGTTTGGCTCAAGCCAAATCGTTCAAAACATTCAGGTATTAGTTTTCTATGTATGACGCTAATCTCGCGCGGTTTGTTTCCATTTGATCGAAGCATGTTTTATAGTCTATAGCACTCAGGAAGATTGTAGCTATCTATCAGTAAAATAATTTTGGATATCCGACTAGTGGTTCCAAAGATTACCCCCTACATACAAATATACAAATTTCACATTGTACCTCTTTATAATATTAGTATAGATAGATAACATCCAATAAATAGTGGAGACATTCACTATTAGCATTGCACTCGTGCGAAGCCAGGGCTTCGCTGAAGAAAATGTCAACTAACTACTAGCATTCTTGACATCCGTAGAGTCTCTAAGAAGCTTGTGTTTCGTATACAGAGAGCGTGGAACAGGATTCGGAGCCAGTGAACCGTGACATCGTGACTCTGAACTGCACCGTTGCGTACATGTCTCAGTGCATGTCTTGTGACAAGTGCCGCGCCTCCTGCAGGTCTATGGGCGCTAACAGCTTGAGGTAAGATATATTTACAATGGATTTTTTGTACAGGACAACCCTAGCAATGAACTTGTTTAAAAAATATATCCAATCAAAAACATAAACGTGAAATGGGAGCCAAGTTCAATATTATGATAAATGCCTCGGTTGTTAATTGACTTCAATGACAAAAGAAGTGAGATCTAAACGGTAGCCAAGTTCAATGGTCAGTCCTGAAATTAATTTACAAGTATAAGATATAATATCTTCTTATAACATAAGATAATGTATTGAGCATAAGGTCTGATTTGGAGAGTTTTCGTGAAAGGAGGCCAGCAGTGTGCACTCATAGTGATAATAATGATTTTTATGAAAGTATAATTTCATACAAATATTTATTTTCCATCTAAGTGCATGAGGAATTAACAGATGACCTCATAAACGCATTTATTATATTTTAAACATTTAAAACAAGTCTGCATATATTAGCAAAGCTTTCGACTGATTGTTATTATTCGTACTTTCCAGATGGTTCCACGATGGATGCTGTGAGTGTGTGGGAGACAAATGTTTATCTTACGGGATTAATGAAAGCAGGTAAATATTAAACTTGAAAACAACTTGTTTTTTTCTTTCTATAAAAAAACGTTGCTCCACACTAGGATTTTCTTCTGTGTTGTGGGTGCGGTTACAAACATACAATTTGACATGCACATGACCCCAGACCCGGAACAACAATTTGTGGATGACACAAAGAGATTTTCCGTGCGGGAATCGAATCCGCGACACATTCCAACCAACCGTGCAGTCTCACTTTTAATATGTATAAACAATATAAAAAAATATTTATTTTTGTAAATAGGCCATCAAACAGCACTTTGACATATTAAAAAACTAGATGAAGCCGGCATTTCCTATCTGACTATTTTGGGTAGAAATGCCGAAACAAACTCAGACGATAACTTCTGAATATAGTAGTTACATAGAACAAAACAACAGCAAAATCATTGTAAACGAGTAACTAGAAGTGTAAATATAGATGCTTCAACTTAATTTCATATATACGTGATACGTGGTATATGTAATTACGTCAACATTCGCGTCGAAGTTCTTAGTAGAAAAGAGTTTGTTATTCCTTACATTTTCACGTCTAAACGGCTGACTTATTATAAAGAGTTTAAGTACTCATATCTATAGATGAGAAAATATTTCCCAAAGTGATTGTAAAAGAAGGAAAGTTGGCGTTTTTGACTCAACTATGTAGGTCCAGCCTTTCCGAAGTTTTTTCAAGACTTTTCAGAAAAACTTCACCCCACACTAGGTTTTTCTCCTGTGTCGTGGGTGGGGTTACAAACATACAATTTCACATGCACATGACACCCAGACCCGGAACAACAATTTGTGGATCACACAAAGAGTTTTTCCGTTCGGGAATCGAACCCGCGACACGTTACACAGCAGCCACCGCACCAACCGTCCTGACTAACAAACAGCTGTTAATTTTGGTTTTAATGATAATAACTAGAGTAACGTCTGTCTAAATTCCATACAGTAATTCCGGCTCTGAACAAGAGATATGATGTGGTTTTTTGTCAGTAAGGATTTATTGGATGATACCTTCACCCCTGAAACCTAGACAATTTACATAAATAGCAAAAGCTATAACCCTACAAAAACGCACTACACGAAATTGATCCCTAAAACAAATAAGTAGTATGGATTTCATGATCATATTGACATATCAATAAACATGTACTACTAAACTAATATTAGTTAGAAATAGTATGAAAGGCAGACAAGATTGCAGGCACACCTGCGCAACGAGGTCGGCTTGTTGATAGACATTAGCATAATATATTATTGAACGAGGATCTGCGCACACATCGTACACGTATCGCGTTACGAACAGGTGTTGCCAATCAATAATAACGTGTTTTATTTTAGTGATTGGTGATAATAATAATAATGTTGTATTATTTAATAATGTTGATGTTGAAGAAAATTATATCGGTAACTTATAATATGGCGTTCTGTTGTTTTTTTTCTGTACCAGTCTGTCTCAGACGTTTTTTATTGTTATGGTACGGCATATGATGTGACAGTTTACCTGATGGTAAGCAATCGGCCCATGGACACCCGTTATACGAGTTACCAGTGGGTTCCCTATTGAGGATTAGAGTTCGGGAAATTCAGGATTAGGGGAGGGGACGAAGGATTGGGCCGGACACCCATAACTCCAGAGGAGATACTAGTGGGTTGCCTTTTGAGGATTACAGTTCGGGAGATTTAGAATTGGGGGAGGGGAACCTCACCCATAAGGTGAAACATAACGCCGTGGTTGTTTCACTCCGGTTTTCTGTGAGGCTGTGGTATCACTTCGGTCGAGCCGACCGACCCTTTCGTGCCGAAGCACGACTCTCCTACACGAGTATATGTAGGTGTAGTATTTGTCTACGAACTTATCTTAACAGTTATTAAATTCAAATTGTATTGTACGGTCATGTGACATCATCATCATATCATCACTCAATCAAAAAAAAATAACGACTTACTTAAATAAAGTCAGAAAAGCTTCACTAGTTTCAAGTCACAGAAGGACTTCTTATTCATGAGCATCGTGTGCGTCGCGGCGACGTCGCGCATCTTATTTTTCCAGTTACTCTCTCAGTCATTCACGTTATTAAGTCACTTATTAATTCAGTCGTTGTTCTAAAGAATTAAATAAAAAACAAAAATATAGATTTATTAAAAAAAGAAAACTTTTTTCGTTTTTAATTTTACTAAGCATTTTGCTAAATAATTTTCGTCCCGCCATAATTTCACGCTCATACTGACTATAAACAATGCTATGTTCCATTGACTGTTTCGAGCCAGGGTTGTACTACGTCACTGCGCGTGCACCCGCAGAAAAAGACTCAGTTTTATATATACTTAAAAAGGTGGACAAATCATATCCCACATTCCAATTGCCTTAAATGAATAACTATTCAAGCTTCTCGTCACAAAACAATAATGAAATTAGTGTTTATTACCGAATAACCATGAACAAATCTTTTATGTTAAACGTCACTACATAACTCTAATTACAAATTACAACTTAACAATGCCTTAAAAAACCGGTGTCCTCAAACAATAATTTAATAAAAAAATCAATAAATATTTGTTCTTTATATTTACAGATGTTTGGCGTGCCCAGGTGGCAAGGAGACCACAGTGAATTCTCTTGACGAGGACCTTACGTATGATGACCTAGACTACGGCGAGGAGGTCGACGCCCAATCTGTTTAAGGAACAGTCATTCTTCAGTCAATTGTTTCAAGATCTGTGGAGATTTTGGTGGTAATACAATGGCGACCTTATTACGTCGTTATTTTAGTTGTAATTTGTCTGTGGATTATGTTATGGTGTGTAAAAAGGTTGGTGTCAATGTTAATTCCTTTTTTTGTTTCAAACTGTATACTGGCTGGTTATAACATTATTAGTTGTTTGCGATTTTGAATTGTATTCGAATAAATTTTAATTTGCTCTATTTGCAAGTTACATTAGAATCTATAATTCTCGATTTTATGACACTAAAACTATGGTACTAAAAACTTAGTTTGTTTTTTAATTGTACTCGAATATCGTTAAATAATTAAGGAATTTGACTTTTGTACGTAATGAAAATAAGGTCTCAATTGCAATAACTAAGAGCTTAAAACGAAACACCAACTTCTACATCAATTTTGTCTACATTTTAAACAAACATTGACACTTATTTTAAGCTTAGAACATAGAAACTAGAACTCGATGCTTCCAGACTGTATTCTAAATTAAAAACTTTTTTATCTGTAGACTTTAAGATAACATCATAAATGACGTATACGTCTTTCGTAGTATTAGAATAACAGTGTCGTTGTATTTTCGACCTTAATGCATTAGCATAAGTTTCCTTTTTTTGAATTTCCCTGTGGATTTTATAGCCCAGTGTTATATGAAAGTTAATTTAAGCCTGTAATGTAAATTAGAATTTACTAAGTGACACTTATAGATTATTTTTATATATCAACTTGAGTTCTGAAAATCGATGATATTAAAAACTGAATAAAGTTCAGTTGTAATCTAGAATCTCACAAAGAAATGAACAAATAATAAATAGCTGTAAAATATCTGTCCAATGCCTTATTAACTATCTATATACTATATATAAAAAAAGTAAATATTTCATTAGATATGTTTATTTCATTCTTATGTATACTTTTACTCTTACTCACGTTAGTGTGTCGCCCAAGCTCATGAATGTAAGTCCTTCGCGTGGCTTGTAACTAGTCGAGTCATCTCGTATATTATTTACGTGAGTAAAACGTTAAGCATAATAAATCTATTTATAAAATATATTTTTTTGTCAACGTTCCGAATTCAAACTTTTCGGTTTCCCTTTATATATTAAATCTATGTATCGGTCATATTATGTATAATGTTTTTAACAAAATCCGGAATACATAAATAAGTTTAATTTAAGATTTAGGAGCCACAATATAAAAAAATCTAGGAAAAAGTGTATACTTATAAACTTTTAACTAACTTCCAGTAAGTAGTATTAATTTATAGTCAATCTATCAAGAGTTGCTTTTTCAATCGTCTGATATAAATAAATCAAACATTTAAAAAAAGAACAACAATAATTTATTATTGTTCTTTTTTTAACCATCAATTGATATGCAGATTTCTTATCTTCTTTTTAAAAATTAAAAGAAAAACAAAATTATTTACAAAAAAAATCGATAATGTTTTTTCTATAAACCTTTTATCTTAAAGTCGTAAGTCAACTCTAAGCTAAGTACATTCGAACAAATATAAGTCTTCCTATATACCACATAAAGATATAAATCGTTTGCTAAGCATTATTATACTATTTTACTCTTCCGTCCCTAACATTATAAGTAGTAAATTATATTGAAATTATTAACAACGCCTATTTAGGTAAGTAGACGTAAGCTAAATTAATAAAAAAAAAATGGATTGTTCATGTCAAAATATTCGATAAAAACAAAATATTGGTTTGCGCCTGTGTTACGCAGACTTACTCATTATAAGTCCCGGTGTAACTTGAAAATTGTATAGCTTTCCTCGAATTTTTCGCGTGAATAAGCTGTATTCATAATTAATTTAGTATTTAAATAGATTTAAGCCTATTTTTAAGATCTGTTGAGAAAAATCTCAATGTGCCAAATGTATTGCTTGTACAAAAAATGCCATTACTTTTTAATTTTTATGTAATTCGGAGTAGGGATCTTAGTGACATTATATTTATTATGAGGTTATATTTCCATGTTTAGTTTACAGAAGAAAAGTCTTGTTCGTACAAAATCTCACATAAGTAAGCAAAATCTAAAATCATGGACCTATTTGCATTTGTAGTTTGATTTTAATAATCTGTGGACAAAGTTATGTCAAAATTGCTAAAATTATTATTTTATTGTAAAATAGGTAAAAACAAATTATAATATTCCACAATGATATTTAATTTTATTCTAATTCAATTTGATCTTTTCACGTTTCAACAAAAAAAACTTACTTTGCTTGGAAATATTATCTCATTGTTTTATTTTATTCTAAATACGAATTAATTTTAAATCTTGCATTGCCGCCATAATTATTACGTCTAGTTATTCTATTATAAGTGCCTTTTTGATGTATTTTGCCGTTTTATATACAATTTTTTATATTAAATGTCGACTTTATGATATGTAATAAACATTTTATGTAAAACCTTTGTAGTTATTTTATCAAACATAAGGTTAAAAAAGTTCTTTCCGTAATTGTTATATCTCTTTACTAGCTACTCTAGCGCGGTTTCACCCGCTTCTCGGCTCCATTTAATTGTAGCGTGATGTTTTATAGCCTATAGCACTCAGGAACATTGTAGCTATCTATCAGTGAAAGAATTTTGGTAATCCGACCAGCGGTTCCAAAGATTATCCCCTACATACAAACTTACAAATTTTACCTCTTTATAATATTAAGTATAGATAACAAAACCATTTTTAAATATATTTTTACGCATTCTTTAAACAATTGTTATTATTGTGTCTAAAAATAAACATGGTACAGTAATGCATGTGAATTACAATACATTTCCTTTAGAGTCCTGTTTTAATTATTTAAGTTCTCTATCACAATCGTGTTGCTAACGGATGCATCCTCATTATTTTACATTTAAACAGCTTTTTAAGGGTAATACGTTCCAACTGTGTATACAGTTTTGTTGGACATTTTATACTTTTTATAATGTAAAATGTACCTTCTAAGCAATAATAAATAAAATAAAATGAACCAAAAAGGTTTTATAACATATAGTTCCATACGAATTTTATACGTTGTTGAAAGATAAAGAATATAAATATTTGTAACGAATGAATATCCCACAAAATAATCCCAAAGAATATCCCATAGACTAACACTTAACTTAAAATTCAAATCTGACAATTAGAACTGTAGTATATAAATACACATTAAAACCCTAAATTGCTGTATCAGAAACCGTGAATTTGATAGCTTACTGTTACGATGACAGGTCAAATTGTATCATTTCCGTTCATAGAAATCAACAATTAATTTGCATAGGTATTATATATGTACCTACCTACATTTTAAATGAATACTTGATAGGTATTATTATAGTATGATGATAGGTTATATTATAATACTAGCGTCGTAACTTCTCCCGTTTTCCCAACATTTCCCTTCACTGCTCTGCTTCTTTTATTTGTAGCGTGATGATAAGTATCCTATAACCTGTCCAAGAGTATAAAGAATAATAATTGTACCAAATTTTGTTAAAATCCGTAGAGTAGTTTTGTTTCTATAAGGAGCATACAGACAGACAGACAAAAAATTTCCTGATTGCATTTAGACATCAGTATCGATCACTAATCAACCCCTGGTAGTTATTTTGAAAATATATTTAATGTACAGAATTGACCTCTACAGATTTATTATAAGTATAGATTATAAAGAGGTAAAATATGTAAGTTAGTGTGTAGGGGCTGGTCAGATTTCCAAAATTCTTTCACTGATAGAAAGCTAAAATTTTTTTTGAGTTCTTTAGGCAATATTTCGTTCCATCGAAACGCTGGCGAAGCTGCATGCAACAGCTACTACAGTTCTGTACAAACATACCAGACCACATCATCAGCCTATAAGTGCGGACTACTTAGCAAAGGCCTCTTCACACTCAGATTAGGTTTATGCATTAATCACCACGCTTGCTTAAGGCGGAGTGGCGATTTACGACATACCAGCAACCTGACAATTATAATGTACGACCCAACCTTATTAGTTAAACATTGACTTTAAAAAAACGCAAACTACTAATAAAAGATTAGATATATCTAACTCCTTACAAGTTTATGTAGGTAAATAAGATTGATATAATCGACAGGCGACACAGATATAGATCGTAAATGTCTCCTAATCATGTATTAACATCGCATTAGTAAAGCGTGTATCTATCAATTTATTATTATTTTGGAAACTATATAATAGATAGTAGGTGATAGTTAGTGAGAAGCTTAAAAAGTCTTAAATTTCCAGTCTAAGGAATGCGTGTATCACCTCATTGGTCTTCGCGAAGGGGAAAGGCCGCTCCATGCATTTTACTTACTGACACCCGGTTTCCGAAAGGCCGATCAATGTTAAAATCAATTTAATCTCTTGTCAAGTCATCTGATTGGTTGACTGAATTATCAACAACCAATTAGATGAACACGAGATTTAACAGGAGATTAGTAAATTTTAGCATTTAGTTGACAAGCCTTTGACGGTTGTGAATCTGGTTAGATATCAGTGCATGCTTTAAGGTTTAGCTAGCTACTTGTGGCAAAGCGCTTGAAGCTCCTCTGGTTTGTGATGTGTGGCCATGTGTTGCTCTGATCGCTTACCATCAGATCCTGGAGACCAACTGTCTGATGCGTAGACGTTAGTAGACAGTTAGCCTCCAGGATCTGCAACTATGCCATATCTACTGTGCCATTTTGGGTCTCGAAAAAGACCAAAAATGGCACAGTAAAAGAATCCTCTTCTTTATCATTTAATTTTCTCCTTCCTGAGGAATTAGATATATGGTTTATGTAATAATATACCCAGTGCTGTTATGAACTGAGCTCTAATATGGAAAATTCTGTTTTTACCAAGTTTAAACGAAACATTTTGTAAGGTTCATTGACTTTTGAGAAACTTCGGACTGGCTAAACACTACTCCCTCCCTTCGGCCTATGACGTGGTACAATATGCACCCTCGGTTTTTTTACCAACACTACGATATTCACTCATTAATATTTCTTAACAATGTTATTGACATCCTAATATTTAACAACTACATGCGTATGATATTGTAGATAGATAACCTGATAAAGGTTCGCAGGAGCCATTAGGTGCAGATCAAGTCTTAAAAAAGGAGACCTTATTTGTCCCGCTCCTTCCAAAATTCGAGGCCACAACGTGCCGTAAACTATTTCTACATGTTTGTGTATTATACGTTTATTATACCCTATTTATACCATACAATAAATAATAATCAGTTTTTAATCAGATAACACATTCACACCCAATTTTCTAGTGCGTCAATTGTATTGAGTTAGGCGTAAATATGTAGGTACCTAGATTTTTTTTTAAGCAAATGTTTTTGTTTTATATCATAGGTTGGTAAACGAGCAGACGGATTACCTGATGGTAAGCAATTGGCGCCCATGGACGCTCGCAATACCAGAGGAGCAACTATTGCGCTGCCGGGATTTTGTGAGTTGTTAGGGGCTATTTGCGGATAGGGGATTTGAGGATAGACGATGGGTGGGGGGAATATAGGATGGGTCTCCGAAGTCTGATTTATTAGGCAATATTAGTCTTTGTATTTTCGCAACCTCGGACTGATTAAGTTTCGGTAAACTGTTGACTTGGCTTGTGCTGCTTCATGATTATGAGCCCTTGCGTGAATTGAAATTTGTCGTCATTGTCACGTAAGTCACCTAAGAATGTCTTACCTAATTCATTTAATAGATACTCTAACAAATTTAAAAAAAGAACATTAAAATTTGTTGTTTAAATTAAGAATTTAAATCGTCAATCAAATAGAAACGTTTTTGACGCCCTTTCAAGTTCTGAATTCAGTGTCTATTCTCGGTAGAAGAGCACGCGGCGTCGTTATGCAATGTGAAGACATACGGACGCCTCATTCGTGTCGATAAATAACACAGTCTGACTTAGGAACAACGTGACTGATAGTATCTACTTATTACCTATGTTTACATACACAACATTATATTAATTTATAAGTACATAATATGCATGAACATCGTCATGTATTTCAATCCCGAAAGGATGATCAGAGGTGAGGAAGGCATCTCACAATTCATCAGGCTATTCTTAATAAATGGATTCACTACCACAAGAAGAATCGTTCAATTCGAGTTCCGGAGTTTAGCGCGTTCTAACAAACAAACAATGAAACAAACTTCTTAGCTTTTTATCACATCATCAGCCTATATGTGCAAAGGCCGCTCTTCTCACACGAGGAAGGATTGAGCATTAATCACCACGATCATGCTCAAGGCGGATTGAAGATTTCAGACTATGTTACGACGTACCTATGTCAGCGGTGTCTTAATACTTAGTCATAGAAACTTGTACATACATGTAACTCTTATACATAAAGTTACATTAGCACTTGCCAGATTTTAAACCTGCACTCTCATCATGAAGAAAATCCAGGATTTTTCCTTCATGACCCTCATGCATGAGAAGCAGACACCTTACCCTCTGGACTACCAGTTTTTATAGTCCCTACCTACCTATAAGGTTACTCATAGTTTGAATATTGCCATATTACTATTATTCCAGTATCTTCGCGCCATATTAGTTTTACCTTCTAATCACACTGCAGTAAAATGATACCACATTATCAGCTAAATCCATAATATGTAACACTATTTTTATAAATTATGTGATTATGATCACTATTTCATTAGTCGTAAAGTGATTTTTCGTTTACAACGCATTCCTTGGATAGATTCTTCATATCATTCTGTAGATTTTGTTTCCGTCGATGTACAGTTGAGTGCGAAAGTTTCACTTTATAATAAACCAAATTTTAGTCTCTCTTGATTTTTCGGACCGATGCCAGTAGGTAAATGACCAGCCATCCACAGATTTTGTCGGCAGGTATATGCTTCAAAATAGTAGCACTTGCTTTGAATGATTATAGGATATACTAAGGATACATTCATACATATTATTTTAGTTCAGTTAAATATACATTTTACATTTGTCTACAAGAAGGGAAAATTTACAAATTCCAAAATTTTTACATTAAACGAAAACATACAAGCAATTTCGTAAATATATCATAGAAAATTATAAGTAGAATATATAAATAAAATTTGACTAGTCGTTAAAGTTTCCAAATAGAGTTCCCGAGCAGGACATGTAAGACTAGCTATTGGTTCTGTAGAAACACGTAGGTAATTATTTATTGATTAAGTTTGACTTGCTAAATAAAATATTACAGGAGACACAGAAATGTTGACATAAAGTAGGAATATTAATTCCTCATTGATATTCATACTGCCTACAATACAGATAAGAATTTTAAATAGCAGTAGAAAAAATAAATGTTTAAACTAAATCGAAAAAAATCTATATTAGTCTATTGACGCCGATTGTACACAAGAAGGTTATAAGGAAAGTGTCTTAGGTACGTCAATAATCTTAAGCGCCGACAAAAAAATATTGTAGGATTACTGTGTAAACTTTATCTAAAATAGCCTTTAATCTACAGCCAGTCAATAGTAAGGTACTAGTCACCGAGTGAGCACCTCTTAATCAGATAAACGTTAGCCCGGTGTGATAGGGGGTCATTAATGACAAATTATTGAAACGTTCGCGGGTGTCCACATGCCGACAGAGCGTATTCAACTGCATAGAATCCAGTATTATTTATAGTGGCCTAGGGGATCAGCTGATGGAGCCGCGTGGCGCGCGACTCGCGAGTTAGAGCGCGGCCGCGCGCGCGCAGACACCGCTACACCGCACATCCTGCGCACACGCCGCGCCGACACTATCTGCGTTATCGTACAAATAATACATACACGTGAACCACCAGCTAACCGGCTCCCGTCGCTTGTTTACGCCGTTTACCCACCACCACAATTACCAGACACGTCAGACTGAACTGACTGCAAATAATATCATTATCTCTCAACTTAATGTGACTTCGCTTACCTATTTCATCTTACCAGTGTTTTATTGTGATTCTAGTTAAAAAAAATACAGACATAATCGTCTATTTGTTACGCAACAATCAAACGCGTGTGAACCAAGATACAGTGTAGTGTTCCGTCAAGGAAATAATTCATAGGATATAAACAAATTATGGCTCCTTTCTAGGAACTTGAGCTGTCGTAATTTGAACTCTGTGCAGTGGTAGTAAGGTGAAAATGAGGAGCGACGTGTTAGCACCGAGCGAGTTGGAGGGGACGGACTACCTTCTCTCATCCACTATGAGGCTGGAGGACAGCTTTCTGCAAATACTCGGTAAGTAGCCAGCAATAATAAAACAAGTAAACATGAAGAAACATTTTTCTAAACTCGTTTTTCATCTAACAAAGTTGCAAGATCGAGTCATAACTTGAAAACAAATACTCAAATAGACGCGACGTTTTTTTAGGAAAAATAAAAAGAGACAGAGATAGAATCGTCATGGTAACAAGACATTTCAAGGACACGTAAGCTTGTACTTAAATGTAGATTAGGTAATAAATGATTACACGGATAACAGCAGCCAAGAGACGATCGTAATCACACCTAATATAATAATAGTATATTCAGTACCTACATACAAAAAGGTAGGTTAGTACCTACATAAACATTGAAATGTATCAATTCTGCAAACAAAGAAACTTCTTAGTACCTTCCCACATAATTATATTAGGGTTACCACAGATACTTACATAATAGGAACAATATGGTACTTAAATTTATACGAAAAAATTAAAAATCAAAAAAAAAAATTGATGTGCTGATCATACCTATTCATAATAGGTACAAACAGATTTTTGATAAAAAATATAAAGTCACTATCTATGATTATACATAAATGTTGTGTTATTTTATTATTAAGTACCTGTATTATCACGATGAAGAAAACAAAATATTTTGGGAAATGGATACCTAGGTAACTATAACAGAAAATAGGTAGGTAGGTCCTGATATCTTTTTTGTAGACAACGTAAGTACTTATTTACTTTTTTGTTATCAAATCCATATTAGTGCCAAATGATAGTGACCCAACTTTTTCTTAATCTTTGACGTTATCTTAACAAAGTCATTGTTTGTTGGACTGGAACTTTTATTTTATAGGTACATAGTTTTAAGCCCTTTTTATGGTGGGGATATGATTCTTTTTTTTAGGGGGAAAAAATATCAAATGACTTCTCTCCCGCCTCTGTCAAATTCTTACCTACCGATTAAAAACTACCCCCTTCGCTTGAATCGCCATCTCAGCTGAAGACAAAGATAATTCTTCCATGATCAAAACCACCCTGGCGGTCACTATTTAAACAATAAATTGTGTGACGCCTGTTACGGCACATAGGAAAATTACTATTCCCTTGAATATCGCACATATTCATTAATACGTCATTTAATAACAGAACTCTGTTTTTTTTTACACTTAAGTACCCTAACCCAAAGAAGTCCGGAGGCTTTTCGTTGAATGTTTTTTTCTTTTGAGTGTGTTATATTATATCATGCAATGAACTATGAGTGACGAGCGGGAGTGTCAAAATCTTGCTCACTATAAACTATCCCGTTCCTTCTCCTGCTCTGAGGACAGCTTTTGCACTTACACTCCCAGCAACGGTCGGGACCTAACAATGTGTAATTGGCCATTCATGTAATGTAAGTAGTTAGGTATCTGAAAAGTTAAAAAGTTATTGCACCTCTTTGCTAAGACCTTATTGTTAAAATCGAAGACATTGTCGTCAACTTTGGTATACACATGATCATGATTAATGAATGTATGGCAGAAGAATATTACACATAATATTATCCTTTTTTGGTAATAATTCAACTGACAAACGACAAAAGTGGCATTTAGACATCCAAATAAAATTCTGCTTACCTGTGATGCACTAGATAAGTCGTATAAGCTCTATGAGATACTCTATGCACAAAGTATTTGTTATTTTGCTTTATGTAGCCCAGAATGTTTCCTGAGTGTGGCCATTAACAAGAAAAGGTTCAAGGGACTGAACTTGTGGCGCCCTCCGCCCGCCCGCGGTGCAATTATGCACATACGCTACAATTGCAAATGGCAACACATTATTTCTGCTAACTACGTCTGTTATTACAAGCTTTAAATATAATTATTGTTTTCATGATCATTACAAATGATTATTACTACCTATTAACAGCGACAAATTGTTGTCTTGTTCTTAAAAAATAACTGTAGGTTTTTAATATAAATACTTACTTTATTTGTGTTGAACAAAATATCCTCAAGATTTAGTTCTTGTGAGTGTACATATTTGAAAAATGTTACAGCTATTAATATTCAAATTCATATGTCGTTATTTTTATGGGTCCATTGACCTTACGGTAACTTACCTACCTTACCGATTCTGTTTAGGTAAATTCTGTCTGGCGCTTGTCCATTAAAATTTCGGTGTGGTCCAAATCTACTTCTTTTTTTAATGGACCACTGTACCCTGATCGTTAGGTACATTTACTATACTTCTAATTTGTATGGCGTTAATGATATTGTTAGAGGTTTTTTTGACTGGGCAAAATTATTAAACCCTCTGAGTGGGAAAACAAGGACTGTCAGACTCTTACTGACTAAAAACCACCGTGTTCCTTCTCCTGCTCCAGGCCAAGGCCGTGGTGCTTTATTTTTATCTTTATTTACCCGCAACCCTGGCTAAACACAGTTAGGAGCAAAAGCAACCCTGGCTAAACACAGTTAGGAGCAAAAAATTACTTATGTGTCATGTGTATGTGAAATTCAATGTTTGTAAACGCAGCCACGACACAGGAGAAAATCCTAGTGTGGGGCAACATTTTTATTTAAGAAGAAGAAGAAGAAGATAATTATGAATTAGAAGTGAAGAGAGAGCGTTTGAGTGAGGTTACCGGAGGCCCAATCTATCCCCCTCCCCTATCCTTTCCCGATCCTTATATCACCAACCCCTATCCCCAAAAGGCTGTCAACACACTCGTAACTAATTTGGTGTTGCGGATGTCCATGGGCGGCGCCGATTGCTTAGCATCAGGTAGTCCGTCTGCTCGTTTGCCGACTTATACCATAAAAAATACACGATTGAAAGTGTTTTTGTTGATGTTATATTTTTCGTATACGAGACATAATACAAACATACAATTCATAACAAAAATACTCTCAAGCGCCATAAACCTCCATCGAACACGTTATTTTTAACCCCTGACGCAAAAACGACGGGGTGTTATAAGTTTGACGTGTCTGTGTGTGTGTGTGTGTGTCTGTCTGTACCACTCTAGCCACCGAACGGATGGACCGATTTTGATTTAGTTTTTTTTGTTTGACAGTAGAAAATGTCGAGAGTGTTTTTACGTAAGTTTGATGAAAATTGTTCCAAGATGGCCGCCGCCACAAAATGACAGATTAGATATTTTTTTTTAAACTCCATCCATATGGGTATCAAATGAAAGGGCTTGACTAGTAGAATACTGTTAGATATGACAAATTTAAAATACAAGATGGCTGCTTCTACAAAATGGTGCTTTACATTTTTTTATTACAACTTGATCAATATGGATATCAAAAATGAAAGGGCTTGACTAGTGAAATACAATTAGGTATGAAAAATTTAAAATCCAAGATGGCTGCCTCTACAAAATGGCGCTTTATGGATATATTGATATCATTTGATATCTATATCCATATCCATCCATTTTCATAGGAATTATAATTGTTTATGGATATCTCGTTCCGTTCATTACATTTGGTTTTTATAAAGTCGGGGGTTTTTTTTAATTTTTAATTTAATTTTTTTGTTCAAGTTTTCTTATAAAAAGTATTATTACATTACCAACGTAATTTTGGATAAGTATATTTTTTATTCGACATTCATAATATATTCTCTACTTCCTACCTACTGTTGTACACAATTTGTTTCTGGAAAATTACTTGCAATCACACATTTTATTTAAATGAATACTTACCTAATTATTTTAACGATTATAATGCAATCGATATTAGAATTTACATAATACATAATTACCAACCGAAGTTTACCGTTCACCAATCATACGTACAATTTTTATGTGAGAAACAAGCTTCGACACAAATGGTTCCGCTCGACCGGAGTGATACTACGGCCTCATATAAAACCAGCGTGAAACAACCCTGTGGTTGTTTAGTTGCAAACACGTTGTGGGCCTGTGCCCACAACGTTGTGTTGTGTTGTGGACCTTCGATAACCTCATTAAAGGTGCCCCTTCCCTAATCTACATTAAACCTCCAAACCCCTAATCCCCAAAAGGACGTCAACACACTCGTAACTTCTCTAGTATGGCGTCCAGAGCTTACCATCCACCACCAAATTTGTTCCCAGGTTACACGCAGTTTGCCGCTGTCACATAAAAAATCTAACTCATTTCTATCTATTTCTTCCCTTTATTCCCATATTATACATAGAATATTGGAATATATTTAAGTAATTGTGAATACGATGCACTATGTTGTATATTTTCTGTGATATGACACGCGCCCACACCAAGGTTAATAGACACTAGTTGAAGCTAATATAAACAGTTCAAGATTTATTTACCTCTGTACTTTGTGTCTATACAAGCAATGATCAGTGAGAAACTAAACATAGCATTATTTTACAAACTTTTATTTAGCTTTTGATGCTTTTAAAACTTCTACTACTTTTTATTGAACATTTATGACCATGGCTAAAGTGCCTGATGTGATCTGGATGTGGGGAAAATGTGATTTCCTTATCAATAAAAGCAAGGAAGGCAGACGAAAAAATACTTATATAGTTGAAAACAGTCACCTATTACTATTTCTATGATCGTTTTTCTAAGTAGGTACCTACTTATTTGAATAATTTCGAACGCTTTTAAATACATAATAAAACGAAGCCTCTTAGTAAATATCCGTCCAGGAATAGTAACAAAAATTTATTGAAACTGCTTTCCTACTTCAAACCGTGTAAAAGAAAAACTGATTATTATAAGAAAATGTTACAAAAAGTATAGCAAAAATGTTATAAAAGGTCTTAAAGCGATCAAGTAAAGAAGTGCAGCATAAAAACCTTCGCAACGCACCTCTTCAATACCTAAACTTGATGAAGTGGTGTTGGTGACAACCTCGTTTATGTGAATAGTAGTAGTGACTATAACAGCAAACAAATGTTAGGGCATTGTCTGATTAGTTTCTGAGAACATTGTAGGTAACACGAGGCGTCAAACAGAAACAATAGGGCGCAGAAATAAATTCATAGAACGTACTTTCTTTTCAGTTCAATTTACACTGCTTTGAATTATTAGTAAAAAACAGAAAAGGAATTGAGTATAAGTATTATTGATAGAGCTACTGGCGCGCGGTAACACCCGCTGCTCGGGTCCTACAGATCGTAGCTTGGTGTTTTTAGCCTTTCACGATAAATGTACCTACTTACAAAAAAACACAAAAGGAATTATTGAATTCGAACCAGCAGTGCCTGAGATTAGCGCGTCCAAACAACCAAACAAATTCTACAGCTTTATAATATTAGTATATGTATGTATATGTAGATTTTTTTTTGTGAGGGTAAAATCATCAAATGACTTCTCCCATCCAGGGCCGGGCAGGAGGGAGTGTCAGACTCTTACTGACTAAAAACCTGTTCCTTCTCCTGCTCTTTGCCGAGGTCGCGGTGCCTCATTGCGCTTACCCCGCAACCCCGGCTGAACATCAGCCCTTTAGGGCCCCATCTGTGGTGGTCTAATGGCTCTTTGAGGCGCGCGCGGAACGCTACGCGCCGTACGCTCGGGCCTGGTTCTGGTCGGGCGGCGAGCTGCCCTTACTCGCCGACCGCAGGCCCGTCGGGTGCTTACGGTGGCCGGAGCTCGTCCCTTGATGTATATGTAGATTGGTGATTGGAATGACTCCTGTTTGTCAACTGTTTTCATAAGTAGGTACACTTGCATCGTGTTGAGACTTATGTCTATGGATCATTTTCCATTCATATATAGACAATTTCATTCACCTTCTTAAATAAGAAAGCCGTTACACCGCATATTTCTCGTTGCTAAGTGGATAGCTAAACCAAACTTTAGAATTATAGAAACGTGTTTTGATTTTAATTGTCTAACCAAATAACTGATCGTTTCTACATTTGAATTGCAAATTAGAAAAAAAAAATAACTCCGTATAGCTTCTATGTCTGTCTACTAACACTACGGTCCTTTTCAGTTTAATAATCTATTGTATATTTCTTACTTAACTATATTTGTATTAATAAACATCTCAATAGTATATTATTTATTATGTAGGCATGTGTAGGGTCAACTGTTTTTGTGTTACACGGAAAATAACTTCGTATACTTACTTACCTAATAATTATTACGGCATTTTCGTTTTTATAATCTTGTTTATAACCTCTAAAATGTCAAATTTTGAACCTAAATCGCATTTCTGATCAATGACGTATTATAACATCATTGTTTCTGATAATATACATCCATATACATTAATATTGTTTACCACGTAGTAAGTATGTTCAATACGGTCTTTAAAACTGCACATATTATGTTTGTATAAATCAAGATTTTCAAGTAATGTGGTGCATATATTTTGTTTTAACACTGACAAGGTCAATGCTGCCTGCATTTAATCTTATCATGTACATCTGTTTGGATTGTCACGTGTCGTTCATATCATATTTCATATAAATAAATATCCATTTTTACTTTGGGGTCCTTGTTTTGTTGGTATTGCAATTTTTACGAACTAATATGTTAGTATGTCGGTGTATTAGATATGTAGATCTCAATGCTGTGAAATGATTTTAAAATTTAACTTTTTTAACGAGGGGAAATCATCGAATTACGTACAATCCTTCGCCCAGGGTAGGGCAAAGAAGGAGAGTCAGACTCTTACTGACTAAAAACCACCTGGCTCTAGGCCGAAGCCGCAGTACCTAGCTTCCTGGATGCTTTAGATAATGAAAACATATCCCTTACTACGCAGCGCATTCAAGGTTCTATCATCATGTATGTATGTAAGTAAAGCCATCTTGTCGAGATCAATCGTTTCAAAGCTAGTAACTGAAATACTAGTTGTCTAATAAGTTGATCAATAACTTTCCAGTAGGTACCGAGCCAATAGAGCACCACAGACGCGCTTTATAGGGCTGATGATGAGGCACCGCGGCCCCGCCAAGAGCAGAAAGAACGGGAAGGTTTTCACCAAGGGTAGTAGAAGTAATATTCCCTAACAAAAAAAAGTTTTTACTCAAAAGACCTACAATTTTACACAACCAACAGTAGGCAAGAAAACGTTCACAATTTTCATGTCGCCTTCGCCAAATAATATTTCGGTATCATCATTTATATATTATTATCATGTCATATTTTTTGGGATATTTGTGATAAAGAATGAATTCGCTTTATCTTAATTTATAGCTGTGAGATACGCAATATTTCGGTTACTATCTAACTGATAAAAGTGGCATTACATACAATATCTTTCAACTTAAAAACGCATTAATCTTCTCCACGCGATAAACTTTATTTGGTAGCGAAGACTGGAATGTTAGAACATTAAGTTCTGTTTGTTGTTATTATTTGTTAATTAATCTCGTCATTATATTGTTAACTATTGATATTTCATAATTACCTAACTATGAATGACGAATTTAATAATGCGTAATAATTATGCAATCTGAATTGTAAATTATGACGAGAAATTATCGATCTTTAATATCGTAATTCAATTTCGCATTCTGGTCTTATTAGGTCAAACTATTGTGTGTATTCTATTTGTTCAAACTAGACGTTTAATTATCATATTCGTAGAAGTTTATAGGGCTCATAGAAAACCGGTGTGAAATAACTACAACCACAGTATAAATATGGGTTGTGCTTAGCCTGGTGAGGATACCGGAGACCCATTCCTTCACCGGAAGCAGGGATGGCGCTTATCCAATCCGTTATTCCTAAAAGGCCGCACACGCACTAGTAACTGCTTTGGGTTGGGGGTGTTCTTGGGCAGCGCTGTTTACTTACCATCAGGTAATCCGTGTCCTCGATTACCAACCGACCTGTTTCATAAAAAATCCATCTTGCAATCGGTGAACAATGCTATCCTAATTACAAACTGTCATCGTTATTGTTACCGATTAGTTTAAAAAAGTATCTACTAATAAAAATACATGAATATAGTATGAGGCAACCATGCTGTTTTAACAAGGAAGTTGAAGAGATTAGGGCCCTAAGTTCACATTGCCGCCGCCCACTGTACAAATTGCCGCGACCTGACCTACCTAATGTGATAATAACAATCAAAATATGACAAGGGGACATGGACACGTCAAACGCCTAGCGTCACTTATTATTCCATGGTCATTCTTAGGCCTTTGGCTAGGTTGAACCAGAAATACATAATATGTTGATTGTTTAATTTTGCCTGATAATTCGAGTAAAACAACGGTATGTATGTAAGTGTGGCTACGTTTGGATGCTTTTAATAAGTACTAATATAAAATTAATACAGATTTCTGGTTAGAAAATGGTCAGGTGAGTGGTCGGGTATTTAAGACAAGTGTGGAAGAGCCAGAACTTCAGTACGAATGGATCGGCTCCACTAGTAATACCACGGCCTCACAGAAAACCGGCTGTAAACATACCACAGCGATTGTGGATGTCCAAAACCCTAATCCCCAAAAAGCAGCAGGTTTAGCGGGTGTCATACATATAATTGGTTACCATCAGGTAATCCGTATGAATGATGGTAAAAACATTTTTTTGTTCTGGCCGAAGTCTGGTGAAATCCTTATGGAGGAACCGGGAATATTTTTTGTAGACAATTTTAGAACAATGCGGCGTGGCGACCCCAAGTATTGGCCATGGGTGTCGGTAAATAAATGAAATTCCTATAATATGATAAGATTATAATATCAGTGGTTCGCAGGCAACTGTAGGTACCTACTTGTAATGTTGATATTATAGCGTTATCTGTGAAGTGTTTCCAAGTGTTCGGTCTACAAGAGGTCATTTAGTAAGACCTTCATTGAAGACTGTTCAGTCACCTACGGACTCATTACTGTTGATGGATCTTTACACTCTTAAACAAACCTTTGTGTAACAATATAAAAGTACATTAACATCTATGTAATAAGAATCTTTACTGCTATTATTTTTTTTACGCCCATAGAGTTACGAGTGCTTTGCCGGCCTTTTGAGGATAAGGGTTTCGGATATTTAAGGATTAGGAAGGGATGGGGAGACAGCGAAACACAACGGTGTGGTTGTTTCGCGCCGGTTTTCTGTGAAGCCGTGGTATCACTCCGGTCGAGCCAACCCATTCATGCCGAAGCTTGGCTCATCCAAACCCGAATTGGAAAATAAGATTTGCAGATAAACGCTGTACGAAGTCACTGTAGTAGGGCAAAGGACGTCTGTATGGTGATATTAGGCTTAAAATATAATAAATATGTTATTTAAATAATTTTAGTTTTCTATTCTAACCTTGTAAGGGTTGCCAACCATAGCGGATTATGATTAAGTGGTCAGATTACATATGTACGTAACTACACACAGTCTTTCTTAAACACATTTTTGTTCATAGTATTGAGAAATTAAAAGGAAATTTTAAATTTCGGGATAATGCAACGCTATTATCGGCTTTTGGTGCATCGTTGATAAGTAATAATCACTTATGTATGCATTGTAATGAATCATTTGATTAATATTAACTAACGCTAGGCGGAACTAAGATAAACTGTCTCAGTGAGTTATACGTACCTACATAATAAAGTCTCGTGGCTAGCCAATCCTTGAGTAATTCAAGTACCTACTACAAATGTCTAGACCGCTTAATTAGTTCAAGAAAAACAGTACATAATGTCTGATAACTAATGAACTTAATGATGATAGAATAATTGTAACATAATTTATGTTCTATCGAAACGCGACGAGTGGCCTTTTGATTTGTTTATTTACATATTTATTTGAATTACTTAAAATCTGTATTAAAGATAATATGAATTTCCCTTAGTCATAGTATCACGCTACAGGTACGTATGTTGTCTTTCTTAAGACCAGTGAGGAGAAGAAATTCTTTAAAATATATTTTTTGAAAAGTAGAAAGCAAAACGAAATCGAAAATAATAGATATAATAATCAAATAAAATAAATCAATACAATAAAGTATTGAAAAATACAAAACTATACTTTTACTTATTTATCGATCGATCTATACACTATGTTTTAGATTTTTTAAAGCTTATGAAATAAGTACTTAAGCTATTTGACGCAGGCGTCGGGGATCAAGGGACGATCTCCGGCCACCGTAAGCACGGGTCTGCGGTCGGCGAGTAAGGGCAGCTCGCCGCCCGACCAAAACCAGGCCCGAGCGTATGGCGCGTAGCGTTCCGCGCGCGCCTCAAAGAGCCACTAGACCACCACAGACGGGGCCCTAAAGGGCTGATGTTCAGCCGGGGCCCTAAAGGGCTGATGTTCAGCCGGGGCCCTAAAGGGCTGATGTTCAGCCGGGGTTGCGGGGTAAGCGCAATGCAAATGCATAAAGAGCAGGAGAAGGAACAGGGGGGTTTTTAGTCAGTAAGAGTCTGACATTCCCTCCCGCCCGGCCCTGGGCGGGAGAAGTCATTTGATGATTTTCCCCTCACAAAAAAAAGCTATTTGACGCAAAATGTTATGACGTCATAACTCAGTTTTTCATACAAATTTCATAGAAAAGTTTCGTTTTTGACGTTTGGATAAAAGTATCGAATTTGACTATGTACTTGTTGGAAACTACCGTATTATTGACACTGAAGGACTAAAAGTTGGAAACCAGTGCGAAGCAGTGCCAGTAAGTTGGTGCCTTTTTGAGGGGCATAATCATTGAATGACTTCTCTCGACGGAGTGTCAGACTCTTACTGACTAAAACCCTATGTTCCTTCTCCTGTGCCAGGCCGAGGCAGCGCCGCATTATTGTGCTTGACCCGCAAGTATAACCACCTAAATGGCTGAAGTAGCTACCACACACATACAGTACATAATAAAATCGGTTTGCTTTAGACATACCTACGTGTGAAGAATTTGAATTTGCCAACAGTTTAATTTACCATTAGCTTTTGATCGCGACTCCGTTAGTGTCTTTCTGCAGATTTTTGGTATAAAAACTAGGTAGGTATCCTATGTCCTTTCTCGAGTTCCAAACTATGTTTGTACCAAATTTTACAGAAATTGGTGCAGTAGTTTAGGCGTGAAGAAAAGACAAACAGATAGAGTTACTTTCGCATTTATATTATTAGCATATAAGTAAGATTACCTTACTTCTAGACGTTTGCAAGTGCTTCATGTACGGTGTAAATTTGAATTTTCATAAGAGCCGTTTAAAAAAAACGCTATTATTGTTAACAAAGATAGTGATTTATCAGTGTTTTATTGATAATTCTGAAACTTTTAAATTGCCTCATCCTGACTGACTGCAATCATGGCAAAGCCCATGAAGAGGTCAGTGATGTACTTACACGATATTTTATTTATTTATTTATTTTTTCTTCTTCACACAAAACAGTCTGAAAGGCGGACTTAATGCCTTATGACATTCTCTAACAGTCAACCATAGTGCAGTGCACAGAATTCTTGCGGTTGGTGCGAAGCAAGGACACAGAGTCCTAGAACAAAATGGTATTGTTAACTGGGAAATATAAAATCTACTAAAAGTGCAATGATCTGCCTTGCAAATTACTATTTATTTATTCGAGCCTCAGCACGTGTCCCTACTTCGTTGTTATAATTTATAAATAAGTATAGTAAGTAAATGTGCTTATTAAGTACCTACGTCGTTTATATTATTTCTTGGACAAATCCGGGTCGTTGCGCCCTGTTATCAATCTTATCAACACTCATGTATGGCGTAATCGTATAAATGTGTTTAACATGTAGGTACCTACACTATAGTACCTGCTTAACTTGTAAAAACCGTCTCAGGAATAGAAAATTAACCACTTACAATTATTATTCTATTAATTTTGACCATAGAACTTCATTATATGATCTATGATTTTGACATTTATTATGGCGGGAGCGGCGCCATGTTTTCGCGCCATACTTGAATTTAAATATTGTCTATAAGTAGTCTGTACCGACTGTGGCAGTGAAATAACATCTATTCAAATGCTTTTCAATTTCGAATAAGGAATAAATTAAGGTCTGATAGAGGTAGGATGAATAATAAAATTGAAAGAACAATGTGGGTCTTGGCCTTTTCACCTCACAACTAACTGAAAATGCTAAACAGTGAATGTTATACGAGCATGTAATAGGCATACCTACATATATTGTCGGCCTTACGGTCAATAACATTTTAAAACACACACTGTTTGTAAAATTATCTAACTTCGGTAAAAAAAATGACTTAACCTTGAAAATATAGAAAAAAACTTGCGTAATATTGTCTATGACGCGATGCTTAAGTCAAGAGCAAGGAGATTATAAATTACATAGTGTTATTAACTGATACTTATTTCCTTTTATTGTGAAAATGAAGATTATAATTAATTTTATATAGGTACCTAACTATATGATTTAAGTACCTATCAATTGTAATTAAAATTAATATGAATTATGTTACCAAGTTTTATCGTTAATTAAGCGTTATTACAAGCGCCACAAAATGAATAAATAAACACCTAGTAAGTTGTTTATTTTTATTTTTTAACACGATAAGCGCCTTGAATTACCGTGAAAGGTCATTCTAGACAATTTTGTTACATACATACAGAAATTACAAACAATAATTATTTTAATTTGTTAACTAATCAAAATGCGGAAAAACAACGAAACTCGTATTTATTATTGACACGAAGTCATAATTAATTAGGTAAGTAACTGTGTGGACTTACCTAATGTACCAAAACCGAAAGCAAAAAAACCTAATACATAAGTAACTGAACTAAATCAAACTAAATAAAAAAGGAGTTAAGTATGTATATAGGTACTTATTTAAAATTTTAAAACTGCAGCTTGAATTAATCTTAATATTGAAAGCAAATACACATATGTATGTACCTACAGTGTGTCTAAGTTAGAATCAAACCTTGGGGAATTACTTAATATTGTACCTAACTTGAATTAAACCGATTACAAAAAGGATGGGGTTCTCAATGTGGGTTGTACAATTTAAATAATTGCCATTATACCGCCAATAATTATTGTGAAACTGAAGATCTTAGTTAAATGGCCATATGTAAAAAAAAAAAACACATCTTTGCCTAATTGATAATGATATACCTACCTCAAGCCGTAGACAACAGAAATATTTTTTTTATTTCTTTATTCCATTGGATGGTCACGATTAAATATAAAAATAATAGTATTTTTATTTCTAGTTTGTTTGCAGTTACGTTTACAATCACTCCCACTAGAGCAATGACACGACGCACAAAAAAAGATTTAAATATAATTTTACGCTATCACTATTTTCTATTTTTGAAACAACGGCCGAAATATTGGGTACTTCGCTGTTTGACACCATGAATTTTTGACACCACGGTGTCAATCGCAGAAGAACGTTTTTTGAATTGGCTGTTTAGGACCATTTCCATAATAATTTGCGACCGTGGTGTCAAACGGCGAATATCTTATTTTGTTTTCGTCGATTGACACCATGGTATAAAACTGTTGATTTGGACCACTTTCAACAATTTAAAGGTCAACTGTGATTTGTGTACTGGCGAAAAGAAAACGGTTATTAAAACAAAAATTACAATCAAATTTTTAATGGAATCTTGTATGAATAAATCTTGTATATGAATAAAAAGTTCTAACAAACAACAAAAAAACACAGATAGAAAAGGTAAATTACCTTTTTACTAAAAACTAACTACTAAAAATCACATAATATACATAAAAAGTTCTAATAAACAATAAAAAATCACAGATAGAAAAGATAAATAATCTTTTTACTAATAACTAAGTACTAAAAATCACATAATCATCTTGCCTTAAATATAAAAAGTTCTACTAAACAATAAAAAATCATAGATAGAAAATGTAAGTTACCTTTTTACTAAAAACTAACTACTAAAAATCACATAATATACATAAAAAGTTCTAATAAACAATAAAAAATCACAGATAGAAAAGGTAAATTATTTTTTTTTCTAATAACTAAGTACTAAAAATCACATACTTAATCATCTTATCTTATATATAAAAAGTTCTACTAAACAATAAAAAATCACAGATAGAAAAGGTAAATTACCTTTTTACTAAAAAATAAAAATGCCAATGGGCCGTCCTTTGCTGTTTTACATCATGGTGTCAATCAACGAAGCCAAATAAGGTATTCGTCGATTGACACCGTGGTCCCAAACAGCCAATTCAAAAAACGTTCTTCTGCGATTGACACCGTGGTGTCAAAAATTCATGGTGTCAAACAGCGAAGGACCCGAAATATAAAATCCAGCTGATCTTGCGTCTGTCTGCTGTAAAAATAAACTGTTTTCATTGATGGAGCTGTAACTATTTTGTTTTCAAAGACGCGAACTATTTTCTACAACTGTCGCGCACGTATTTTATTTTAATAGATTTTTTGTATTAAGTATGAACATTATATTAGCTACCTATCCTTTACAACTGGCTGGCTGGTACAGCTTTATAACTGGCTGGTACAGCTTATAACATAAAGACTCTTTTTACATCTTTAGTTATACTTATATGCCTACCTTTGTAGCTTAGAACTTCTTAGGTTCATATTTTAATAATAAAATTATATATAGGTAGTATCAAAAAATGTAATACCTTATTTTAAAATATTTTTAATGTAGGTAGTAATTGGTATTATATCATAATCTCGCGCTTAATAATAATTAAAATAGCTCCCCATATCACTGATTTAATCAGAAGCTTAATTATCTTGGAGAAAAGATATATTATCTTACACGTGATTATTTACTTAATTAATTTAATCTCAATTATCTATGCTAGTACATACGTACCTACTGTCAAATGAAAGTACGCACTTACTTATAAAAAAAATAGTCAAGCATCAAGCAGGTAAAAGAAAAATACAAATACGTTCACCTAAATTAATAATGTATTTTCTTCCAGTTATTATCTATTAATTATAATATGTTCTATTTCATTTATTTTAATCAAAGCATAGGTACTTAATTCCAAACTCATGATCGATAAACCTTTTAGGTACTTAGGTTAGGTTTTCATGTGAACAAGAAATAAAAAAATGAAATTTGAATATGGAACCATTTGGTTGTAACGATCCTCAAAATTACTCAGAAAATTATGATTACTTTTTAGTACAAGTATAAATCTTAGCACCAAGCTCTAGTGTTGTTAGGTAATTATTATGCACCAAAATGCGTATAATCTATGGTTAACTATTGCGTTCAGTTCTC